TACTTACATATGAAATTGGCGTTTTGTATGGGAGGAATATAATTTTTTTTTACTTTCCCGATTTGCTTCAAGTGGATTAATACAGATTTATCACTTAGGTACCCCGAAGCCTGCAGCTATCTCTCAGTGCTTTGTGATGGATCCGCTTCCACAATAGCCTTTAATTCTTCATTTTCCACTTTGGTCTCCGGCCGTCCACGGGGTTGGCTCTGAAGGCCGAAATTTCCAGAACGAAAACGTTGAAACAAAAAACGTACCGTGCTTTTTTTGTAACATCAGCGCCGTACATAGAGATGAGATTTTACCCGAAAAAAACCCGAATGTGATATTATTGGGTTTTTTCGTATTTAGCACATGTAACATCTAGGTAATATGTAGGTACATGTATATATCAAATAGTACTTACTATTTAAATACTATTACTACTAATTAGAGCTAATCTAACTTGGCTTATTTTCATAATTCAATAAATACGTAATATATACTCCATGCTATCTAATTAAATAAAAAAACTTGTCTGTTTGTGTGTGTGTTAAACTATTTATAAAGAAACTAGCGACCCGCCCTCGCTTCGCTTCGGAAACATTAAAACACAAATGAAACAAAAAAAAAAAAATTAAAAAAAAAATTAAAAAAGTAGCCTATGTTCATCAGGGACAGTGTCGGCTTCTAATGGAAAAAGAATTTTTCAAATCGGTCCAGTAGTTTCGGAGCCTATTCGAAACAAACAAACAAACAAACAAATCTTTCCTCTTTATAATATTAGTATAGATATAGATATAGATGGTCAAAGAAATTACAGACGAACTGAAGTCTATGATTTGGATTGGCAGTGTGATGGCTGGAGCAATCAGCGCAATGAAGGTATCATCAACTTTATTATTGCAAAACCCGAGCCTGTTTTTGTTAAAAGCCTTAATACTCTATCAAACCGACATACAAGCCAATATGTATCTCAACAGATAATTCTTTTTTATTGCTTAGATTAGATTGGACGAGCTTACAGCCCACCTGGTGTTAAGTGGTTACTGGAGCCCATAGACATCTACAACGTAAATGCGCCACCCACCTCGAGATATAAGTTTTAAGGTCTCAGTATAGTTACAACGGGTACCCCACCCTTCGAACCGAAACGCATTACTGCTTCACAGCGGAAATAGGCGGGGTGGTGGTACCTACCCGTGCGGACTCCCAAGAGGTGCTACCACCAGTGATTACGCAAATTACAATTTTGCTGGTTTGGTTTTTATTACACGATGTTATTCCTTCACCGTGGAAGTCAATCGTGAACATTTGTTGAGTACGTATTTCATTAGAAAAATGTATACCCGGCATTTGAACACCGGTGCATCGCTACATACGAATGCACCGGACGTCTTATCCTTTAGGCCACGACGACGACAGAATTAAATTTATAAACGTGTACGGAGGCCACTTTGTAACTCTTATCGGAGATAACGCAAATAATATTCAAAGAGCATTTCAGATAGTTAAGATTCGTATGCACATATACTACCGATGAGATGTGTAGCACATACATTGAATTTGCTATGCGAAGATTGCTTAAAACTAGAACCTATTAATGCGTTTATATCGATTGCCACAGACACGATAAAAGCAATAAAAAGAAACCAAAGTATGAGTGCTTTATTAGCTCCGATTGTAAAAGAAAAAGGTTCTGCAATTAAGTAACATTCCATCACAATGCGTAAAAAAATCTTAGGATAAAACAAGAAGACGTCTTTTTGTTGTTTTAATAAACTGCTAGTTTTATTTTAGTTCCTGAATCCTACTACACATTTTAACGTTTCGAACAACAGGTAACACAGCTAGTGCTGGCACAAAGTATGTGTGATTAGCAAAAAAATATTTTTCGCTGCATTATTCTAAAAAAGAGTTAATTTTATTAATAACGTGATAATTACTTTAAATAATGAAAATACCCGTCTATTGGGTTTTTTCCCACATAAATACCCGGTTTGACCCAAATGAGAAAATGAGTTTATTCCTGCGCCCATCTCTAGCCGTACACATAATTAATCTTTCGAGCTGTTTCTGCAGCACTAGTGCACGGACTGCACGGTAGAACTCGTACTCGTAAATTTACCGATACTTCATGTTTTTCATTCTGCGGTAATAAGCGACGCCAAAAACAAAATTATGAGGAAAAAACAAATGAATGGCTGTTTTCAAAACTCAAATGTACCAGCTAAATGAACTAATAAATTTGAATTTGGAATTCTTAACCAAAGAGGAGATATTTCAGATCAAAGTGGTCAGTACGACAAAACGCTAATAGGAGGAGAAATATCACACCCCCGATTACCCTCTTCGGCCAACTTATACCCTGGGCCAGGAAGGTCAAGTACCTGGGAGTCACCCTGGATGCATCCATGACATTCCGCCCGCATATAAAATCAGTCCGCGACCGTGCCGCATTTATTCTCGACAGACTCTATGCCATGATCTGTAAGCGGAGTAAAATGTCCCTTCGGAACAAGGTGACACTTTACAAAGCTTGCATAAGGCCCGTCATGACATACGCGAGTGTGGTGTTCGCTCACGCGGCCCGCACACACATAGACACCCTCCAATCCCTACAATCCCGCTTTTACAGGTTAACCGTCGGGGCTCCGTGGTTCGTGAGGAACGTCGACCTACACGACAACCTGGGCCACGAATCGATCCGCAAACACATGAAGTCAGTGTCGGAACGTTACTTCGATAAGGCTATGCGTCATGATAACCGCCTTATCGTTGCCGTCGCTGATTATTCCCCGAATCCTGATCACGCAGGAGCAAGTACCGTCGTCGCCCTAGACACGTCCTTACGGACCCATCAGATCCAATAAGTCTTAGCATTAGATACCTTCAGCTCTAACACTAGGAGCAGGCTGAGGAACCCCGGTAACCGTACTCGTCGAACTCGACAAAGAGGTCGACGTGCAACCTAACCCATGCATCAGCCCGCTGAGTTTCTCGCCGGATCTTCTCAGTGGGTCGCGATTCCGATCCGATAGTAGATTCATTCGCGAAGCAATTGCTCTTGAGTTCTTGGTCTCCTTCGGAGGCGCTCGGGAAGTTGTTAGCAAATCCCACCCCTCCTGACTGAGCCTTTGCTCGCCCACCTGTCCTGGTGAAGCTGGAAAGGCCTCCGGGCCACCAGTAATCTTTCAATCATAAAAAAAAAAACAAAGAAGAGATTAATATAATATATTGAAACAATGAAATGTCCATAAAAACAATGATTATATATAATATATAATCATTGTTTTTATGGACTTATTACATGTATTATGGATTGTATTATGGATGTATTATGGACTTATTACAGTGAAATCACCAAATTGTCTTTTTAGGGGAACTTACTGCATGGATTAATAACAAATAATTTACTATCGAAAGCAAATCACTTTTTGTGGAACCCCTTATGTTCTGGGCCTTACGAATTGTTGACTCCCATTTCATTTGGCACGCCAACGTAAAGCCTCTGGGGTCTCCCGTGGAACCCTGGTGTCCACCTGGACCATTTTGGGAATTAAGGCTTTATTAAAGCTATTTTACAACGTGCGTGTTTATTTATATATATATTTTTTATATTAATGACGGTTTTTATTTTCCCACCGACTATTCTCGCATGTGTCAATATTCACTCAGAGAACCAAAATAGCAGTTAGCCCACTGAGTTTCTCACCAGATCTTCTCAATGGGTCTCGTCTCCAATCCGGTGGTAGATTCTGCAAAGCACGGCTCTCGCTAGGGCTAGGTAGAAAAAAAACAACATAGTATAACAAATGTTTCACGAACAAGGGCAGTTTACATAATGATTTTAAAAAAAACATTCTAATAATTTAGTAAGAAAATAATACAAATCAAAGCCTATTACAGAAAATAAATAGAGTCAAAAAATAAAACAACTAAATTTAAATTACTAAAATATTTATCAAAGGTATATACACCCTCCCAATTTTTTATACGAACATCCATGAATGTCACTCACCCAGAAACAAAATTATAAACATAAAATAATATTGGCTAAGAAAGTATTAATTCTTAAAACGCGATTGTAAATTCATTTACATTTTGGTACACGCACATATCACACAGGTATAAATTTGATGATATATTTTATAATGCCGACCATGATTAAGTACTCGAAATAACATGGCTTCTTCAAATATTTATTTTTGAACAGATTCCTCATACAAATATCCCAGCAGAAAAATAAGAGATGTTTTTTTTGTGTTGGAAATATTATACTTGGCCCGGAAGCCATGCCTTTTAACCAGGTCTGATGGTCCCAATGTGTAGCTTTATACGGTTTAAGGCCATTTACATTTTAAAATGGACAGTAAAGTGAGTTACATTATGACTATTTACCAAATTGTACATTTTTCCTAGATATGTAATAAACAAGGAAAATTTATAAATATATGTTATTTAAGTAATCTGGTTTTAAGTGGATAGCGACATCTAAATAGAATATAGAGTGACCTCACTTTAAGTAAACTAAGTTCTACAATAACAATAAATTATACAAATTAATCTTAAATAAAGTATTCTATAAATGCTTATAATTATTAATATAAAAAAAATATCAGCAGGTTTTATGATTCATTAGGATCATTGAAAATTTTACTAGCTATTTATTAATAGTATTGACGTATGTAGTGAACAAATTTGTATATATATATTATACGTGACAATTTTTTTACTACGTAAATCAGCAGCGCACCGGTGTCTGTAGTAGTTACCGACAGGCGGGGTCTCATCGGCCCATAAACATGTGGAACATTTTAAAAAATTAATCTTATTTTGTCGTGCATAAAATTTTATTAGAGGTATGTTTTAATATCATTTTCTTGTAAATTATTATCGTAACATAGCATCACAGCTATTGATAGTCATGGAACTTTTCGATGCCTATTTTAGTCCTATGAATTGGTGATAGGCATGATAGAGATTAGGTTTCACCATAAACTAATAAATAAAAAATGGGATTGGTCATAATAATTTTATTCGCATATTTAATAATTGATTATGATACATGGAGTGTGACCGCGCGGCGGTCCACTTTAGAGCCGAAAGGTGATCGGTTTGTATCACTCCAGATTACATTATTACTCATTATATTGCATCGACATTTCCTCCACAAAATCGTCGCTACACATTCACTAGTAGGTCACCCGACTCACGGCGTCATAGTGCCACGTCCTGGAGCCGGCCGATAGCCGCCGGACATAGTATGTACACGCACGCGACTCGACCGGCTCACGATCACTTTCATAATTTACGTCCTAATAAAAATATCGGAAACCTAAATTCGGCGAGTTCCCGGGACGCAATAGAAAGCGTCCGCGAGAAGCGAAAGGGCAAATCGCGGCAGGCGAAACGCTCGCTCACTCCGCTTTGACCTCCGGCGGGGGCACGGTCTGCACCTCCGCCGGCGGTGCCGGGTCGCCGCTCTCCTCACCGCCGGCGGTCGGTTCCGTATTCTCGGGCGCGCGCTCGTTTCCGCCGCCTCCGTCTGGACACAAAAGCGAGCGATCAGCGATTCGTGACTAGAACGGCGGCTAGTTTTATCGATTTGGTGACTAAGTTGTATACTGACTTCGCTGAGGATGATGATAGTAGAGATTGGGGCGCGGCTGAGCATGGTGAGGTCGCTGTTGTGGTGCGCGATACAGCGGCAGTGCTGGCGCATGGGGGCGCTGTATAGGCGCTGGGTAGCGCGGGGCAGGACCTCCGCCGCGAGTCATGACTCCTGCCGCTCCGCCCCCGCCCCCGCCGCAACGCCCGTTGTTGCCGCCGCTCACCATCTGCGGAGACAGACATTACTAATACTTCTTACTGAAAACGATACTGACCAATTTAATACAATTATTGTAAACATATAATTTCATAGTTTGACATAAAATATACCTGTTGTTGATGGTGTTGATGGGGTGTGTGTGCCGGCGGTGGATGCTGAGGCGGGGCGTGATACTTGTGTTGCGGTGGAGAATGTGGCGGCTTTTGCGGTTTTCCACCACCTTTCGGAGTCGGTGACGCTGCATCGCAAAGTGGCGCGAATCCATTGGCATGCTCGTGAAGAGGACTCTTCAATTGTTGTTGAGGGGGTAAACGAGGCTGTGGTTGCGGCGGAGGATACTGTTGTTGTAAAGGCGCTCTATATTGTTGTTGCATCTGTTGTACAGCGGCGGCAACCTGTAGTTGCGAAGAGAGAAATTGGGAGCCAAAGGCGCCAGACTGCGCAGGTTGCGTAAACTGGAGAGGATAGGTAGGTGCTGGCGCAGTTGGTGGTTGGTAAGGTGAATAGTACGAGGAAGCTGGCGGAGCCGGTCGTGGCAAGAGTGAGTACGGGGCTTCGCCCACAGGTCCTGAGTATCCTAGGTACTGTTGGCCGTAGGTGTTGACGCCTCCTACTCCACCCACACCGCCGCCTTTGCTGCCTGCACCTTTATACATTATAATTGTTAATTTTTTAGCTCTCGTTTTTCATACCTTATTTAAACACAAAACCAGAGCGAAAACTCTTACCTATGGCACCAATTTGTTGAGTAGTGGGCTTCACAGTTGCAGACATTAGAGAATTAGATGTACTAGATATGAGCACTGTACTAGGACTGTTTCCAAGCTGCCCTGATTGGCCAAAAGCTGCACCCCCGCCTGCTGCCTGTAAATTGATATTGGGTAGATTTTATGACAATTTTATGGTTATTTACCTATTGACGAAACAATAAAATTTGAAATATGTGATAGTAGATCAACCCTGATAAACATTATAATAGGATCTGGTATGGTTCTATCAATAAAATACAAGAAACTAACTACTGTAATCATGGATATTCGCCCTTATGCCTCTGATGTCTGGATATATTTGTGGCACTACTAAGAACACACTGCATAGACGGCGAAGAAGTAAAATTTTATTGAATTAAATGTATGTTTTGTAGAGACTTTTTTTTTATTTCTGCAACTAAATTTGCTTTTTAGCTTTATTCATTCATTAGAAAAAAAAAATCAACTGTTAAGTTTGTTAAAAACATAATAATATGGTTTGTTTAATCAGTTGTATGTACTGTTGAATCACATCTGTGTGAGATTTCTGTTATTTCTTAATACTTACAATATTAAATTAAAAATTTCTTACCATCCTATATTGGCTTGGAATACTAGAAAACATATCCGGTGGCGGTTGGTAGTTATAGGGGGCCGCTGAACCGGCGCCATATGGAGTACCAGGAAAACCACCAAATTGACCTCTACTCTGATCCAAGAAAGCTCCGTAAAGTCCACCCTGCTGGGGAAGCTGTTGAGAAGATCCTAACAATTGCTGTGATGAGTTAAACAACATGGCAGGCGGCGACGGAACTGATAGCCCACCGTACCCTCCCTGATAGCCCACGTGGTTGTAATGTTGAGGCGGTGGGGACTGCAATTGTTGCGTTGGCTTCACTTTGCACACATTAGGTGGAGCGCTTTCTGTATTGGTTTCTTCAAATCCAGTAAATTGTAATTCCTCCGTATTTTCCGCAACAGCAGGCATCTCCCAGACCTTCTTAACACTAGCGATTTTTAAATTAAGATCAGCTGCCAGAGGCGAAATCGTATTAGAAGTGCTCATGTGGACACCACGTGGTAAACCCAGCGACTTAGCTGATTTATCTTCTGAAAGTTGTCCCAAATCTGAATCAAAGCCAAAATCAAGTTTCATGTCAGAATCTTCTGTTTTTTGTGTTGTGTCAAATGACATTTGTAAGCCTAACGACGCGTCCCCTTCTGCAGATTGTCTCCCACTCTCTGCCATAAGTTCTTGTATGGATCTAGGACGTCCCCTAACTTCTCCGTTAAATGTCAGGGAACGACTATCTATTTCAGTGGATACTTCTTCAGTTTGATTTTTAGACATATTAGAATTTAGTTGATATTTTTGTTGCAAGGCCTCATCTGGTGTAGCAGTCTTATAGTTGGTATTTTCAAAAATTATGGTTTCTACAGGCGGCGTTGCTCCATCTAACATACTTGTTTTATCAGCAGATAGAGTACAAGGAGTGGGAGCAGTCTTGATATCAGTCGACGTCTCAGCTGGTGTGCTACGCTGACTGGATTGCGCAGATTTATTTTCAACTAAATCTACATTTTCTTCTACATTACCACGTAAGGTTTGGGATATGGGTTTATCCCATGCATTAACTGCGGGTGGCGGCGGTGCGGCGCCGGTATCGGGGCCGCATGCGCTCACTAAGCCGCCTACTTGCTGCCTTTGCTGTCGTTGTTTCACAAAACGAGGGGCTAAGTTCGCCTGTCGAGGTCTATCATATTGAGATCCGGATTTGCCTGGTACTGGGGCGGAGCTTCTGTTTGTGGATTTATCATTGGAGTTTCTAGTCGACGATCGATTGCGACCATTTCCTTGATTAGAATGAGATCTTGACTGTTTTCCAGAACCTTGACCATCTTCTTTTGCAGGTGGTCGGGTATCTTTGGAACTCTTTTTATTGCGGACCTCTTGAAAACCGTCATCGATAACTTCGTCATTTTTAGTGTTTAACTTCAGATCAGAAATGGCCTCAGTTATTTCAGCAGCAGTTTTATTTTCACCTGTAACTACGTCTTTCTTTCCTCCTTGTGAAATACGTCCATTTTGACGATTACTGGAATTAGCATTTCTACTATTCTTTTGAGATTGAGCAGAACGACGGCGACCGGAAGTACCACCTCCTTCGGAATGTTCAGATGTCGTTTCCCAATTTTCATCTTCCCCACTCGGAGCTCCACCTTTAGGACGACGATCACGTCCTCTACCTGACGTCGAACCAGCACGTGGCTTGTTTGGTTTTCCTCTATCATCAATGTTATCCTTAACTTCTTCAGTATCTTTCACTGCTCTATTGGCTTGACTGAATGGACTCTTCGTATTAGGAGGGCCATATCCTACTACTCTTTTAGCAGGAGCTGGTGGACGTGCGGATCCCTGGAAACCACCCCTACCCCTTCTAGAAGGTTGCCCGCGAGGTGCAAACGGTTCTCGATTTTCCAATATATCAATAGTTGTCGGAGTTTGATCTTGTACTGCGGGATTTAACTCATCAGGCTTATCAGACTTTTTCGGTCCTCGTGGACTACGAGGTGCTCTACGCCGTTCCCTGCGTTCTGAATTGAGAGCTCCATCAGTAGATCCATCAGATTCACTAGCCCTATTATTTGAACGGGAACTGCGATGTGACCGTCTTCCACGAGATTCCCTTGATCCCCAACCTCTATTGTACACAGCATATCCTCCGCTTCCTGCATAGCCTCTAACCTTTTTCTCAGAACCAGACCCACTAGACTTCCTTTCTATGGGTTCTTTAAGGGGAATTTTGATATGTTGTTCATTAGTAAATCTCTCATTTTTCTTGTCATCAGTGTGACGTTTTTGACCTTCATTGCAATCTTGAAGTGAATCTGTAGACTGCGTTTCATTGTACTTCACAGTTGGCTCAGTACTGGATTTTGGTACTACCGAATCAGATTCAGAAAGTTCTTTTTCTGTTTTAGCAGCTGACAATTTAGGTTTTGCTATTTGAGTTTGTGGCTCAGGCATTTGCTTTGATGTTGGTAAAAGTAATGAAGAATTATGAAGATTTTCATTTTGAGAATTTTGTTTGGAAACAGCAGAAAAAGATGGTTTTGCAACTTGTTGTTCAGGGAAAGACATTTGTGTGTGATTATTATTAAGAACAGATTGAGTGGAATTAGCTAAAGATCCTGATTGAGATAGTACTTGATTGTAACTAATACCTTGAGTATTTGATGTACTAGTTTCAGGTTTTTGAGATTGGATCTGAGAAAGTGATGGAATTAAATTTCCTTTAGATAAAGACAAAGAAAGTTGAGATACATTTTTTGCTGATTGAGAAGCATGACTTGGTTCATCATTTTCTACTTTTGGTGGGTCTTTAGGAACCTTGTCATTATCCATTAGCACAGACACTTTTTCAAGAGAAGTCTTTAATGTTGCAATATGCGTTTGTTCATCTTGAACAGCATCTGCCCAAGATGTTTTACTAAACTCTTTTTCAGATGATTCTCTTGCAGAAGGAGGTACAGGTGAACTTAGTTTTATAGAGCCAGGAGTTTGCACTGATGAATCAGAGGATACAGTCTCTGATATTCCAATGCTTTTTCTTTCAAATACTTCACTCAATTTTTCTGCAGCAGATCTAGAATTAGTTTCAATTATATTTTCAGTACTTCTTTTGTCACATTCGTTTCTTCTATCTTTGTAGTCGACATATTCTTTATAAGATTCTTTAGAATTAGACCTCTCAAGATCCTTTCCGAATCTTTCAAAATCTTGCATTTCAGACCGCCATTGCGGTCCAGGTCCTTCTTTCTCCCTTCTAAAAACTTCTTCTCGATCTGAATAATCCCTAAAACAGAAAAACAGTCTCTTTAATTTTACTTTATGTATGAATAATTGTAGTGAATCACGATAACTTCACGAAACGCGAAATATTATTTACGAAATACGACAATTTCTTTTAAGAATTTATATCCCAGCTATAAAGACATGATATTAGCTTTTAAGTGTTTATTTAAGAATAAATAAATATTCGTAATATAAAACTACTTTCATTTTTAAGTTAAGTTGATAAATAATGTTATACATGTTACTGTTATGGTTGAATGAATCCATTTTTTGTAAATGAGGGGAGGAAGAAATGAAATAAAAGAATGCTCTTCGCCAATGATCACTGATCTGCAAAGCATCCTACTATAACTTTACGATACTTCGTTAGAGGTAAGCCTAAGGATGAACATGTCCAAATCTTAGGCGATGAGTAGTATCTCAAATACAATGACCGATTGGTTAGAAATGAACAACTAGAGATAGTGGACAGCTACATTTATTTTGGGCATGTTCTATTCTTGAGAAGCGAACTTCAAGCTAAACAGATCAGTAGTAGAATACAACTCAGAAGAGTTGTGTTTGGAGAATTGGAACACATCTTCAAATCAAAAAACTTCCCTCTGTCTCAGACAAGACTACAATCAACGCTCTTGGTCCATATCAATATACGTTGCAGAAACATGGACCCTTACTCATGAGACTTTGCACACAATTGGCGTCGCAGAGCGAGCGAGGGAAGGCTCTATGCTGGGCATCAATCTGATAGATCAGATGCGTAACATCTAGGTTAGACGCCTAACAAAAGTTATAAATGTTGGTTAGAAAATATCAGATCTGAAACGGAGTTGGGCTGGTCACTTAGCAAGCCGAAATGACAACAGACGAAGTAAGATAGTGATGGAATGGCAGCTAAGATTAGGATGTTGAGATGCCGGATAACCTATGGCACAGTGGATAATACATTTTTTTTTATTGCTTAGATGGGTGGACGAGCTCACAGCCCACCTGGTGTTAAGTGGTTACTGGATCCCATAGACATCTACAACGTAAATGCGCCACCCACCTCGAGATATGAGTTCTAAGGTCTCAGTATAGTTACAACGGCTACCCCACCCTTCGAACCGAAAAGCATTACTGCTTCACGGCGGAAATAGGCGGGGTGGGGTGGTGGTACCTACCCGTGCGGACTCCCAAGAGGTCCTACCACCAGTGATTACGCAAATTATAATTTTGCGGGTTTAATTTTTATTACACGATGTTATTCCTTCACCGTGGAAGTCAATCGTGAACATTTGTTGACGTATTTCATTAGAAAAATTGGTACCCGCCCGCGGGATTCGAACATCTGTGCATCGCTACATACGAATGCACCGGACGTCTTATCCTTTAGGCCACGACGACTTCTCTAAAACTCAGTCTATATAGTCAGGAAGGCAAGTCACGTCGATGCAAATGGCGGGTGATCGAGCATTATAGCTTTATGCCAATGGGAGACCTATGCCCAGCAGTGGCTATCAAAGGGCTGAAGATAGATAGAGGAGGAAACTACTTACAATAGTTAACATCATATAAAAGGTTATTTATTACACAGTATTCAAGGTTTTAAAATTCACTTCTTCGTTTTTCTCTATTAAGTGGTTTGGGTAATTAACATATTAAACAACTAACCTGGAATAAGATCTGCGACCATTGTTGTGCTGTACATGTCTCGGAGCAGAAAAAGGCTGTACATCTTGTCTCCTTGGGGCAGGTTTACCCGAAAAGGCCCATCCTGCTTTTGGATCGTCTTGTTGTCTGTTTTGTTGTTGTTTCAAAAATCGGGGTGGAATATTTGCTTGAAAAGTCTTGGAAAACGCTGGATTATTTTGATCACGATCGCGACCATACTCTCGATCACGATCTCTAAACTCGCGGTCTCTATCATTTCTTTCTCTTGCTGTATCTCTATCTCGGTCACGCTCACGTTCACGTTCGCGATCACGTTCTCTTTCTCTATCGAACCTATCACGGTCTGCTCTGTCTCTCTCATTACGATTATCCATCCTCTCTTTATCATTTTCATGACGCTCTCGATTCTCGCCGCGACCTCTATCTCTATTTTCGGCACGATCACGATCTCGAAGGTCGTTATCACGATCCGCTCGTACATCACGTTCCCGATCAGATTTCAAGTCGCGATCTCTATTGTCAAATCGTTCCCTAGCATCCATTCGATTACGATCTCTGTTTTCATGTACACGATCTTTATCTCGTGTATCCCAATCGTTTCTTTCTTTCTCCTTATCAATCCGATCCCTATCGCGCTCGACACGATCTCTATTTTTACTTTCGACCCTGTCTTTATCCCTTGGTTCCAAATCCCTTTCACGATTTTCGTTGCGTTCCCGATCTCCACGAAAATCTTTAGATTGAGAGTTAGATGAGGGGGCGTCCCGTAATTGCCGGCGCTGCTCTTCTTCTTTCCGTTGCCGAGCACGTGCAACGGCTTGTGCTACTTCATTATTTTGCTTTTGTCGTCTTTCAGCCCACATTTGGTCTTCATCACCAAGCTCATGCATTTTTATTTCAGCTCGTTCACTTTCGATGCTGGCCCGAGTGCTACTGCTCTTAGTGCTCCCTTTTGTGGGAGCTGAAGATTCTCCATCGGAAAAGTCCAATTTTTGGCTAAAATTAACAATTTATTTTTTTATTTTTAATGCTTCAACATTCTATAAGAATTATTGTTATTTAGGAAAATAACTAACTCGTAATCGATGTCATCGTGCTGAGCCCAGCCAGCATCACGTGAAATATCGTCGAGGGAAGAAATCTGCTCGTCACGCAGAATGGGTCGCGCCGTGAGTACTTCGACGGCGCGGGGCGTGGGAGGTGCTCGGGTGGCACCGCGCTCTCGCTGGGGGCCACTACCGGCTCCCCCACCGCCGCGCTCACGCAGCGCTCCGAGACCGCCTAACCCGAGCCCTCCACTACCACTGCTACCTTTCATCAACTGTTGAGAAATATAGATACATTTTACTTATCACTTAATTTTTTGTGCCATCACTTTGTCTACGGTTTCGAAAACTTACAAAGGATGGCAAGATGGCGCGGAATGCTGGAGTTTGTTGCGAGGTGGGAGCCGCAGCAGGTGCGGCAGCAACGGGAGCGGAACCACTTTCTTGCCTGCCGCTCACTGATCCACCGCACGTCCAGCTGCCTTCCGCTGTAAATTGATTTACAATATATTACAAATAAACTGCTTCTCATAATTTTTTTATTTTAAATATCTCAGTTGTTATTTTAAGTTGAGGTATTAAACAACACATCTTGTTAGAATAAAAAAATGTCACTAAAATTAAAATCAAGACATACTTTGTGGTCTCAGTTGTGGCTGAGGTCCAGTGTGTTCTCCGGTACGATGTGATGGTTGTGCGGCTGCTTCCAAAGAGGGAAACTCTGTGCGGAAGTGTGGAGATGACGGTGGTGGTAACGACACCCAACCGCCTGGGCCGACAACCACATTGCTGTTCGATGGTGCTGTCTAAAATGTAGTTGAATAATATTATTAATAGATGAATGAATATTATCGATGATATTAATAGATGAATATTATTTATAGAACTAAATAAAATACTTTCACTCAATTATAAGTTACGCATTATAGCAATCTACTTTATTCTCTTCACCCACTAATTTTATATATTTTTATGTAATTTTATCCAATCCATAATTACTTGCCCGGTCTTCAAACCGAAAAAAGCTTTTCGGACAGTTTTTATATCTTTTTATTTTGTTTCTATGATGAGCCAGATGATTTTTAATTTAGTAACACTGTAATTAGATTTTTTTTTTATCGCTTAGATGAGTGGACGAGCTCACAGCTCACCTGGTGCTAAGTGGTTACTGAAGCCCATAGACATCTACAAAGTAAATGCGCCATATAAGATAGAGAGCCAGAGATATAAGTTCTAAGGTCTCAAGTATAGTTACAACGGCTGTCCCCACCCTTCAAACCGAAACACATTACTGCTTCATGGCTGAAATAGGCAGAGTGGTGGTACCTACCCCTACGGACTCACAAGAGGTCCTACCACCAGTAAAAGTCTTTATTGTGATTGATTTACAAATGGTGATACAGGTGTCTCATGCAGAATGTTGTACAACAAAATAAAAATGTTCAACATCATCTTCATTTTTTAGAAGTAGTGAATGTCCAAAGAACCAGATATCAATTTACGAAATTAACCACAATATGTCTTGCAGGATTGCAATATACATGTTTTTAATTTCTTTGTGACATAAGTTATCTGGCAATAGAAGTCTACTGTCAGCAAAGCAGTAGCAAATGTAACTCACTGTTGTTTGGGTAGTACATGGTGGTGGTGCAGATACGGTTGTAGTAACAGCAGAAGTTGAGCTGAAATAAATGAAAATCAAAATTGGTATTCAAAGTTAAAATTATTTTAAACAATGTATTAATAATCCCAACATTACGTAAATAAATGATTAGTTTTTTAAATCTTTTTTTTTAATGACGTCAATGCCTTAGGCAATAATTTTGTAACATGTCACAGTGTACACAAAAATGACAGGTGCTCAGAGAAATTTTTTTAATACAAATAAATTTGATAATTTTTTCCACACACGAAACTGTGATTAAAATGTTTTAAAGAAATTAGTTGAGTTGATTTTTTAATTAGAGCAATAGACTTTTTTTATTATTAATCTGCTCTTACAATTCAGCATGTATGGAATATTCATTCACAATTTAATTGGCAAGGTATGACTTGAAATGTCCAGCAATGGATTTATTTCCTTATTCTTTTCCCATCTTTTATTTCTATTTTTCAGGCCTATATTTCTAAAAAACTTCTTCAGCTATGAACAGGCTTTTAATTGTGTATAAGTTAATATGTATTGTGTTCATTCCCTTATTTCCTGTGATATGCTTGTTTTTTAATTGGTTCTGTCAAAGCTGAATCATCTGATACAGACCTATTACTTGGATGTCAATATTTGAAATAACTCTGACAATTTATTTTCCCAGTAATATGAGTGATTTTTCAAGTGTAGTTCTGTAGTGAAATGCTGACTATATAACCATAAACAATATTGAAAATGTTTGAATGTAAAAAACAATGAGAAAATAAAAATGAAGTTTCCATTTTCACATTAAAATGGTTTATTTCATGCTTACTTCTGTCTCATTTAATATCAGATTATGAGCTTTTCTGCCAATATTAGCTGATGATAAATAAATATTAAAACTTACTTGGCAGTTGTATCTTGACCAATTTCAGTTTTCAAAGATGGCAAATTAGCTGGTGGTCTTCGAGCGGATGGTACTTTTCCAAGACTTTGCATTCCATGTTTGCGGCTTAGTTGAGATTTTACTGAGGACGGTTCTGAGTTTTCATTCTAGAAAAAGCATTTTGATTTCTAAGCAAATTCCATTAAAATATTTATGATTGTGTTTAGTGTAAATTGATTGTTAGATTGATTGATTGCAATGACATGATTTGCCTCAAAAATTATTTGTAAGCTCATTCAGGGCCACAATATGAAAGTAAATTATTAGGCCAAGATTCATAGAGCCCATTAATGTAAAAATTATTAATGACTTGTTATAGAGTGCTGCAATACCTACCACAACTGATTCAAATCGTATGATTGATAATGTAATTACCATTTATTTAGTTTTGCATAATTATGTGGAGAAAAAACTACAAAGCAGCTTAAAATTCAATGAGCTTTTTTCTCTATGAGGTTTCTTCTAACAGTTTAAATACAGATTCTTCTAATAAAAATGCACTAAGGGTACCTCGGCTTTGGCTCATACTAAAAATAACAGTATATTGTTTATTTGTAACTTTCTTTTCACCTTATTTAATTTTTTATCATATTATTGACTTTATTCCTAAAAATATGAAAAGTTTTATTGTATCAATATTCTCAGTTTTAGGCATTCAAACACTTAATGTTTCGTAAGAAAAAATACATTGGTTACTATATTAACTAACTAAGATTATAGGTAAAACATTAGTGTTGAAAGGTTATTGACCTTCATGACAAAGAAAGTATAACATAGGTATTTATTACTTACGCATAATTACAGAAATGGGATTATATAGGAAGAGCAATCATTTGTGCCAAAGCTTAGGCAGTATATTACTGGCATTCAATTATTTAAAACTCTAGAATTTTAACAAAAACGAATAGTAAGTGATTATCATACAGTACTAAACACATAGTTATGCTTTTACCAGCTGAAGGTCAGCATATTAAAATGTATCTAATATCGTGCAAGTCTTTGTGCTTGCCATTGTCAAGACCAAGGCTATGTGCTGCTATGTCAAGACAAAAAAATCGATCAATTTTCCTACTCTCCTTTAAATATTACTATAATTTACAAAATTGATTATATGATAAAATAAGCACTCACTCTATTAGCGCAATACAAGCTATTGATGTCCAATTTCTGATATTTTTGCTTGCCGGACGTCGGCTTGCTCTGCGCCGTAGTGCCTCCGCCGCCCGGCGTTGAGAGTGCAGACATGCTGCGATGTACACACCATCAGGAGTTCCCCTCGCACTGACTACCAACTGCAAGCGATACAAAATACTCACGGAACTACCCAAATCTTCGGAGAAAAATTTTATACATTTACATGCATATTGCAATGAATACTTTCACTTATTTTAGTTAAGCACAGGTTTACAACTCGAAATCAACTAAGCACTGTGTCTAATCATAGTGTGGCACTGAACACTTTCACAAAACTTGTATTCTCTTCAGACAATAAACGGGAGCCCTGCCCTCATACGTTTATTGACGTGTTACATCCGTCTGGTGAAGGCTGGATCGATGAAATTCAGTCATAATACACTAAAATATCCCGTTACACACTGCTAGTCACTTTATAGTAAGTTTTCACTATGTAGCTCAAAATAACGGTACGAAAAATTTATAACTCCAAGAACGGTAAATAAACTTAATTCATATTTCTACAAAACAATAAAAATAAATATTTTAGTACCTTGGTCTCTTAAGACTTAATATAGAAAACAATAATGGTTTAAATTCAATTGCTTATCCCTTAACAAAGATTACTTTGGATTTTAACTATTATCTACGCTACCAAAAACTTATATCACTTTATTTTAAGATGGCGTCTCAAAAAGACGATCTCTTCTCCCTACCATTCAGAATCAATAGTGTGACGTCACAAAGACGCGCAACAGCGCTCTCTAGTGAACACTATGTCAAGGCATTTAAAGCGTGCCATTCAAAAGTGTATTTCATAAAATGGTTACGACTTTACACTATGCACGCCATCCGGTTGCCGGATAAACGACGCGAGGTCAAATATTCGGTAACAACACGTATAAGTTTGTAGATGGATCTCTTGCGAACGTTTTCACTAAAGTTCATAAAAAATCATAACAAAAGCTCATTCACATGTCGTAGTATCTGAAAATAGTAGCGTAGCTATACTTGAGACCTTAGAACTTATATCTCAAAGTGGGTGGCGCATTTACGTTGTGGATGTCTATGGGCTTCAGTAACCATTTAACACCAGGTGGGCTGTGAGCTCGTCCACCCATCTAAGCAATAAAAAAAAATTAATTCACCTCACCTCATACCCCAAATGATTTTTTTAAAGTATGAAATTCAGTTGCTTTCAATCTTTCATTTGAATAGAACAAAACTCTTGAAGAACCTAAGGTGCATTAAGGGGACTTGCAACTAAGTCAGCTTATAAATAAATAAACAAATAATAAATAATCCTTTATTGTTGTTAGATTTTAATTTATTTAACTAATCATAAAATAATAACAATAGAGGTAAGCAAAATATAAATTAACTCAAATTAAACATATTCTCGGCATTCGGCTTCTTTCCTCTTAACAGCTTGTCTTTCGACAAAGACCTCCTTTAGAGATTTCCATTTGTTTCCGTCCTTTGCTGTATGTAGCCATTCTGGCCCAGCTACTTGCTTCAAGTCGTCTTCCCATCGTTTTGGCTGTCTTCCTCTAGTTCTTCTGCTTTATCTAGGGCACAATTCCGTTATTATTCTGGTCAATTTCTCTTACTTTTCTCTCAACATATGTCCTATCCAGCACCATTTTACTTTTCTGCACATTAATTGAACTTTTTCAAATTTAGTCTTTCCTTAGATCTTTTTTAGTTCTATTTTATCCCCTTTTTCTTACTCTCAATACGCTTCTCTCTATTCCATTCTGACATATATTTAATTTATTTTGTTGTTGTTCAGTTAAGGCCCATGTCTGGGATCCGTATGTGAGACATGGCAGTATACAAGCATTGAAGACATTGCGTTTCCCTGCTATAGGCATTTCTTTATTTCTCATTATTTCACTCAATGATCAGAATTTCTTCCAAGTGTTTGCTATTCTTCTTTCTACTCTTTCTGCATGCTTTCTGTCGGTGATACTGATTTGCCCAGATAAACGTATTCAGTTACGTGCTCTTGATTATTAACTGCAATAGCGTTTTTTTTGTGAGGAATTGCTTTTCCTCATTTAACTCATTACTTTTTGTTTTAATCATAGTGAGCCCTGCATTTGTACTTTCATCTGCTAATCGAAGAAAAGTATTAAATCATCAGCGAATCTCTAATGACTCCGTTTGTATCCGTTTACATTAAGTCCGAAATTGTCCCAACCCAGTCTCCTAGGCGGCGGGGCGAGTGAGGGAAAGCTCTCCTCACTACGCAGAAACTCGCCGCCACTGAGCAGGGGGTCGGGACCGGGGTCGTATCCGTGACCTGGCCCCCTAAGAGCTAGGGGTCCCACCCGTTTTGTGCGGGGAGAGACCCAGACGTGGGGTGGCGTGCTTGCACGCTCACCCGCAATAGGAAGCCGGGTGATGGCAGACCGCGTTCCCTCGACCGCTCTGGGGGAAGGTGTAACGCGGCGCCATCAAAGCGGGCTCTCGGCCCGCTGAACGAGGGAACCGGTGGTCGTGTCGCTGGCGGCCACCGGTCCGGCGTCCGTGGGACGGTGGGATGGATGTAATGTGCTCTGCGTCAACCCTGTCCCGCCGTTTCAATAGCCCCGACTGGGCTCCGGCCCGGTCCGAGGTAGGGCGCCGGTTGTGAGCGGCAGGAGTTTTTAGTGAGGTTCAACTCCCACATACCCCACCTGCCGCGCGGGTGGGGATCCGGCGATTTTCTCCTGTGGAAAAAAAAAAACCCAGTCTCCTAAAGATCATCTCAAACACTGCTGAGAATTTCTTCGGCGAAATAAGGGTCACCTTGACGGACGCCTCTTCTTACTGGGAACTCTTGGAAAGAAATATGGGAAATGGGAAAGAAATATTGAAAATAAACATGTAAAATTCCCTTCGAGTAAGTGTTCACTGTGATGTAAATATTTAAAAACTCGATGAAAACAATCTGTAGTGGATACTGTAACGTCGATTGGCAACTGCAGCTTATATCAAAAATTCCTATCAATTTATTTAATATGATTAATATAAATGGGAATAAAACATCTTCGTGATTTCTATTTTTCGAAATAGCTTGTTCACTACTGTTTTGGTTTCCAAGCTTCAATTATCGTTTTCAATAGCCATAATAGGTTGGGCGCATATTGTAAGTAAGAACGGTCCGATCCGTTAACTTACTAATGTTTTGTTGGATGAGATCTCACAAACGACTGGCTTAAATCGTTAAAAGTCCAACTTGTTTTAAGGCCAGCTTTAGAACGAGATATAGATTACCGAAAAGCCTTTGATAAATTCTTATGTAACAAGGTCTATAAAATCTTATTTTAGGTTAAAGATACAAATCTTTCTAGCGCCATCCAGTTAGTTTTTTGACTTTACACTTTAATTATGATTCAATTAAATTTTATTAATTAATTAATTAATTTATTTAATTAATTATCAAGTTCAATTCACCCCATTTGGAGACTTGCCCCAGAGAGTTCTCCACTTCAGACACAAGTTTTGATCGTCTCTCTTGCACCACGCTCCGAGAGAGACTGTGATGGCCGATATATCGCGCATCCCCCGTGCTGTCATCCGCATAGCAATGCATTCCATCAATAGACAGCATGACATTGATATACAGGATGAAAAGCATGGGGGAGAGCACCGAACCTTGTGGAACGCCAGCGTTAATGGTCATGGTATCAGAACAGTCACCATCTACAATGACCGTGATGCTCCGCCCATCCAAAAAGCTAGCGTTCCACTTGCAGAGACCCTCGGGGATTCCGTAAGATGGTAGTTTTGACAGAAGTGCCCTATGCCAGACCCTGTCGAAGGCCTTCGCGATATCAAGGCTCACAGCAAGAGCTTTGCTCTTGCTCTCCAAGGCTTCTGCCCACCTGTGAGTAAGGTATACAAGAAGATTGCCAGCTGAGCGACCGTGACGGAAACCGTACTGTCGGTCACTGATCAGCTGGCGATCTTCAAGATACTTCAGGAGTTGTATATTTATTATTCGCTAAAATAATAAATCTAACCTAAAGAGAGACCCCGGAGATCGGTACTACAGGTCTATGAACCTACTATAGACTTCAGCTCTTTCAAAGGATAATAAAATATATTATAACGTTAATTTATATTTGTAATATACCTTTCAGAGAGAAAATAAATAAATATTATTATTATAATCATATAATATATATGACGAGAGGCTGGTTCCATGGTGTTTTAAAATGATGACGTAAGTAAGCATTGCTGGACCAACAATTTTAGCATTGGGATAGCAGTCCATTTTAAATAATTTTAATGAACTAAATAGCAGGGTTGTGCCGACATATATACATACGACATATATATTATTATATACGTAGATATTGTTAAACCATCCCAAGCTATGCCATAATTATCGTAAAGTGTGGCGAAGAATTCACCGGATGATTGGTGGTTGCAATCTCAGAGTAAGTTATTGAAAATAGGTCGTATTATAAACCCACACGGGTAGATATTACCATTTGGCCTATTTATGTCGTAAGGTAATCAACAGATGTGTCTTCAACCTCATGTCTAACTAACCCCACTTATTAGTGGGATCAGATTGATAAAGTTATTTAAGTTGATTGTTAATTATTAATGTTAATATTTGGCCAATTTATCATGAATTAGGAAAATATAAATTACGTTATGTAAAAGTAGGATTTGAGAAAGGAAAAGCCATTAATAATAACCTAGTCATAAATAAAATTACTTTTACGGTATAATTTCAAAATTATGATTATCATTTTATGCCATTTTTGAAGTTTTTAATACTAAACTTTTTTGCTTATCTTTTTTTTTCCTATTCGCTGATAGCTTTCCTGATATAGCTGAGGCTATTCCAGCTACGCCTTGACGGGCAGGTGAGCTCACGGGCTCAACCTGAGAGAATTTGCTATCATAAGCTCTAACTAACAGCAAGAGTGAATCCAGGGGATCCCATAAGACATGTTTCGGGCGACGGCGGCTTTGTGTTGCCCAGTCGCTTTCGGATAAGTAATTATCGACTACGATAAGAGGATTTTTGTGTCGCGCCGTTTTGTCGCAGTAGCGTTCTATTTCTGGCGCCATGGCGCTTCCTTAAGATACTTACGTATCGGTATCTACATTCCTCCCACCCCACGGTGCTCCAACGGTTATCCTGAAGATGCGGGATTGGATGACGTGGGGAGAGTTAATGTTTGTACGGGCCGCGTGAGCGAATACTCTTGCATAGGCCATGACAGAGCGTATGCAAGTTTTGCAGAGTATCACCTTGTTATGAAGGGACAATTTACTTTGCTTGCAGATCATGGGTAGAGTCGACCGAGTGAGAACGCAGCTCGGTCGCGTACTGACTTAATGTGGGGCCCGAATTTCACCTCTCTGTTGAGGCTGATGCCTAAGTACTTAGCCTTCGAAGCCCAAGGTATGGGCTGGCCAAAGATTTTAATGGCAGTAATGGAGTTACTGCACGTAATTGCTGACGAGATACCAGCAATAGCGTCGAGAGGGTGACCCCTTTTAAGAGCACAGCTGTGCTTTTCGGGAGGTTTAATACTACACAGAAATTATCGGAGCAACGGGATACAAAAGTGTGTTTGCTACCTACGGTTTTTTTCATAACCCACAATAAATAGTAAAGGGGCTTTAGTTACGTCAGTGACTGTGAAACATGCCGTTACTGCCCGTCATATTGACTTTTCGTAGTCTCATCATTTATAAACGCAAAGGAAAGACTGAACTTATGAAAATAAATTACCTCAGGATTTTTTTGTTAGAATAGAGTTTTTCAATGTGTGTAACTTGAAACCTTTATTAAGCTCACTTTAAAAGTAGTTTTACTGTTGAGAGACCGATACGTTTCTATCTCACAAATTTAACGCAAGCGCAATGCAGGAATTTGCCTCTTATTGACGAAGTTAAAATCAGTAAGCAGAGATCTGCGGCGAGGCTCATTAGGTCAAAGAAGTGCAAGGAAACCGGCAGCCATGGCCGGGAATATAGGGATGGAGCAGCTTATACCCATTGTTAACAAGCTACAAGATGCTTTTACTCAATTGGGTGTCCACATGCAATTGGATTTACCCCAAATTGCTGTGGTGGGTGGGCAGTCTGCAGGAAAAAGTTCAGTACTGGAGAATTTCGTGGGCAGGTAAGGTTGCTAAATACTAATAATCGTGCTGTTTTTCGCACCTTATTATTTTTATCATAGGTGGAAGAACGGACTTGGCACTTATAATGTTCATTTCATTTTAGTTGTTTCACTACCTACTTAATTTTGAGAGTAAAATTATATAATACCATTTAATTCATCAAAAATATACTCCCACTGCAACTTTAGTTTAAATAATGTATATAAATACAATTATTTTAAAGTCCGTTTAAAAAACTTAACATTGTTATGTAATAAAAAAACAAAAATAAATACGGTTGACAGTTTTCTTCATTATTTTCTTTACTTTATGGTAAGAATGGATGTTTAAAGGAGCATTTACAATTTTAAGGCCAATATCGAGATATATTTGGGATGCCCTACATTTAGTGCGCATGTCAAGATATATTGATCGTGAAATATCTTAGAGTACAGCATTAAAGCAACAAAAAAAAAAACAAAAAAAAAACGCTTCTGTTTTCAATGAACATGAATGATTTTAAAGTTGTTTTATTTAGAATAGTTTAAACATCAGATGAACATTACCTGTGAATAGCTGGTTTTTGAGCTTTACATTAGAGCACACTGACCACAGACAACTGAGTTTTTTAGCATTTTCTACCTCATTTGTACACCTCGTGTAGCCTTTGTTTAGAAAAGGATAAAAATATGCTAAATTTATGGGAATGAAAAAAAGTTTGACAGTTCCCAAGACGTAACCACCCACCATATTGAAAAATAATAGTAGTTTATCGATGATGAACTGATGATGAGCGAGTGGAAATCGTGTATTTGGTGATTGAATATTAATGTATTATATTAAAAATGGCTGGAAATTTTGGAATGCAGCAGTTGATTCCTATCGTAAACAAATTACAAGATGCATTTGTACAAATGGGCGTGCACATGTCCTTAGATCTTCCACAAATCGCTGTTGTGGGTGGTCAGTCGGCAGGAAAGAGTTCTGTTTTAGAGAATTTTGTCGGGAGGTGAGACTTTTCCCCACTTGATAATTTCAATAGTGACCAGTATTTGCAAATTGTATTGTAATGCAAACTTTTTGAAATCAAATTTCTTTTGTTGTTAAATTGAGTTCTTGAAAATTTATGAAAATTGATATCTACTACAAAATGCAATTTATTAAATTATAAAGAAATGCTGTATAATAACACATTAAACAGATGAAACGAAAAAGTGTTCAAGTAAAATGTAATTGGCCATTAATTTTTCATTGCACCCAATAAATACACCAAATGCACTGTTCTGGATGCTGTAAGTTCAGTGTAGAATTTTGGCATGAGTGTAGTTGATTAGTAACTACGAGGTTAATAATTAAATTAATTGTAAAATGGACAAGATAAAAAAGTAAATTACACAAAAGTGATGATCTTCATATTCTTTCAAACATGTTATTTTTCTGTAACATAAAAACTTCATTTCTAATACAGATCTCCTTAGTGGGTTCTGACCCTGATTCAACATAGATCTGGATTTAATTATTTCATTAAAAAAAACAGTTAGGATCATTGTACTGTAGTGTTACTATTGATTTATTTTGTAATGGTAGTAGCAAAAACTAGGGATAACTGGAGTCATACTTGTCTAAGATACAAAAATTGATGGGTAATAAAATAAAAACTGAGTATAGATTAGTTTGAAATTCATCATTTCAGAGTTTTGCTTTTGACTCCTGGTAATGCCAGTTAACTAATTAACCAAGTCTCTATATTTAATAAAAATGCTACTCTCAAACAGAGAGGTCTATTAGATAGGTGTAGATAGGTGTCATTTTCATTAAATTTGCCAACAATTATTAAATAAGAAGATTTATTGTATACAAGTGACTTGAACCTTTATTTTGTGAAATATAACAAATATTTGCACATATTTTAGGGCATACACAATTCTGGGTTAAAGCCTTTATTTCATTTCTTAAAATATTATATTGCAATGATAAAAATGTGTTCTAATAGATAGTAAAATATAATAATAAAATATAAACAGTAGTACATATGTTTATTGATTTAATATAATTTGTAGTTTTTGTTTTTTTTTGCCATACTATTTATTACAGAGTAAACTGAATATCTAAATTTTTTGCTACAGGGATTTTTTACCAAGAGGCTCTGGCATTGTCACACGTCGTCCATTAATTCTGCAGCTTATAAATGGAAATACAGGTAATAACTTTTTACACTAAAATAAAAAAATGTTTAAAGGTTACTAAATTTATAAACATAAGACATTCTTTAATGACAATGTAAAATAAATTATAGTTACTAGGTATTGATCGAACTTGTTATAAAAATTATAAAATCTTTGTAAAAGTGAAAAATTTATATATTAAAAAGATCAAAAAGTAAACAAGGTGTTAATAGTTTTCTAGTCTACTACATATTGTACTATTTTGGTGTTCTTCAAAATAATTTGCCTTCACTGTTAATTTAGTTGGTAACCTTCAGTTATGTTTCAATGTTAAATCAACTAATTGGCTTACTAATTATTGCACATTCGGAAGCCAGATACAATTACAGTGTCCTTTGCTGCTTATGTTTACAAATATGAGTTGAAATTGATGCTAAAATTACAACTTTTTTCTCTAATGAAGAAGAATTGCAGTAGATACCGAATGTGATGATACTAGATGATGATAACAGTATCTAATTAAATACCTTTTTTTTTGTTACAAATGCCTCATTTGATTAAATGGAAATTTAAGCATCAGTGTGTCACCCTGTGTGTTTGCATCAAGTGATGTGATTATATAGTTGAGGTTCAAAAGGGCAATTACCAATATTTTTAAATATATACATACACATACATTAAGTACATAACTACCTAACACATGTACAAAACAAACAGAAACAGAAAGAGTAGACCGAAAGTAGTTTTTATTTGTTTAACTGTTTGTGGCTCCGGACATGTTGTTATGAGCCCGCACAAGTAGGTAACACCATATTGCCTATTTCTGCACCAAATTCGAGACACGTTATTACAAAACAATTGAAAGTTTTCATGTCCCAAGGTGATTGGTGGTATTAACTGTGTAATATCTATTCTCTGGAAGCCTGCCTGTCAGATGATTATGTCTATCCATCTACAGAAAAAAAAAATTGCCACCATCGCTCATGAACATTAGCAATGCCAGGAGAATAGATAAGTAATTCATTCCAAACCACATTCCATCAACATAATTCTGACTGGTTTATAAGTGTCAATTTGATGTCTGGAAACTATGGATGAGTGGGACAATACCAACTGCTCAAATGGTAGGTGCTGTGGTGGTAGATTACGAGATGAAGTGATTATCTCAAACACCAGACATCCTTATGGAACATACGGTACAAACCGCAACGAGAACTGAAGCCACTGTAAACGAGGATTGTTTTACAGAGTCTATCGTTTAATAAGCTCAAAATATGTCATGGGGTATTTGTATGCGTCAACAATTTGATCCAGTTTTTATGACGATAATTTTTTCCCGGTCACGTCTAGGTCAGTACCCTTCCGCCGCATGAAATATTGAAGCTTTCAACTTTGTTTTCGTCATCAATACTTCTAATATTTGGGCGAATGCATTAAAATAAATGAATAATTTATTCCAAAGATATTTTTTTAAGAAAATTATATAGTATTGACAAATTTTCGGTAATAATTTACCAGAGACTTAATTCGGTTAATTTTATTATTTTGAATACAAAGGGTAATAATTTGTATATAATGTGAAGTGTTAATAGCAAGATAGGACGGCACTATGTGGTAATGTTTTTTTGGCATTCATTATGATTATCTGCCGCGGGTGTGTTTGATGAATGTTCATCTCATTATAGAGTTCAAATGCTAACTTATGATTCTAAGGGATTGTTGCTAAATGTGTCTCTTCACGTCTTTCTGACATGTCGTTACAAATAGGTTCTCCCTGTAACTCGGGTGATACATTTACTGAGTACAATAAAGACGACAATAACTGAGTTAGTAACCACTTGTTCCCTAGATCGCGTCTGTAGGTATATGAAACCCGAAAAGGGCTATATAGAAGGGCGGCACTTCGTCGGATTGAATAGTCTACTCAGTTTGGCCATAAATACTGTTACAATTAAAAATAAACAAAATATTACATTTGAATTTGGAATCTATCATTTTTATATGATTGCTCATTGAATTTTCTCATTTTGGCGCCAATACATTGTACAATATTTTGCGATATTAAAATGGAGTGGGGTGATAAAGAGAACCGAATCGCTGTGATTGATTGCATTACACAAAGTAGGTATGGAGCCAAATGCAATTTTTAAAACTCTCCACACGCTTGGTAATAGTAAAATGTATGTGTACCGGGCTATTAATAGGTGCAATGAGAACTCCTCTGTTTGTGACAGAAAAAGATCTGGCCGTCCACGTAGTGTTCGTACGAAAAAGGTGGTCAAAGCAGTAAGGGAAAGAATTCGAAGAAATCCTGTCCGAAAGCAAAGATTTTATCTCGGGAGATGAAGGTAGCACCTAGAACCATGTCGCGTATTTTAAAAGATGACTTAGGACTTGCAGCCTATAAGAGACGTACTGGTCATTTCTTAACTGATAATTTAAAGAGAATAGGGTGGTAAAATCGAAACAACTACTGAAGCGGTACGCAAAGGGAGGTCATAGAAAAATTTTGTTTACGGATGAGATTTTTTTTACAATTGAGTAACATTTTAACAAACAAAATGACCGTATTTATGCTCAAAGCTCTAAGGAAGCTTCCCAATTAGTCGACAGAGTGCAACGTGGGCACTATCCGACTTCAGTGATGGTTTGGTGTGGTATTAGCTATGAAGGAGTGACTGAGCCATACTTTTGTGAAATATCGGCACAAGTGTATCAAGATACCATTCTTGAGAAGGTAGTGAAGCCCCTTAACAACACCATGTTCAATAATCAAGAATGGTCCTTCCAGCAAGACTCGGCGCCAGGTCATAAAGCTCGGTCTACGCAGTCTTGGTTGGACACGAACGTTTCGGACTTCATCAGGGATGAAGACTGGCCGTCGTCTAGTCCCGATCTTAATCCGCTGGATTATGATTTATGGTCAGTTATAGAGAGTACGGCTTGCTCTAAAAGCCATGATAATTTGGAGTCCCTAAAACAATCCGTACGATTGGCAGTGAAAATTTTTCCCATGGAAAGAGTGCGTGCTTCTATTGATAACTGGCCTCAACGTTTAAAGGACTGTATTGCAGCCAATGAAGACCACTTCGAATAAGCTTTTTATACTTTAAATTGTTTTATATTTATGTGTTAAACTAACACACTAAACTGTAAAAGTAATAAATGTTATTTGCAAAATATTTTTTTTATTTTTAATTGTAACAGTATTTATGGCCAGACTAAGTATATACGGTTATTTATTTAATGAAAAGCAGCGGCACATTAAGTTTCAAAGTCCATAGCGACCCGTTGCATCTTCGAGCTCTAATTGCACGCTGCTCCACCCCCTCACGGTGGAATACATTCCGGAAATTTGGTTACATTGCGTGAAAAATAGATAGGCATAAAATAGCTTACACTTATTTTGAACAATTTTTATTTTTGTATAGAATATGCAGAATTCTTACACTGCAAGGGAAAGAAGTTCACGGACTTCAATGAAGTTCGAGGAGAGATCGAGGCGGAGACAGATCGTGTTACTGGTTCCAACAAGGGTATATCTCCTGTACCTATTAACCTGCGTGTTTATTCCCCGAATGGTGAGTTTAACATTTTTTTTAAAAATTACGAATACTTTATTTTTACTTTGCTGAATTAGCTTTGATATTAAATTATCAAAAAGACACGCTAGATACCGATTTAACATAATGCATTTTCAAAGTGTATTTTCGGATATATGAAATTAGAATAGTTTACACAGATTAATAATAAATAGTCCATATAATGTCCAACATGTCATATGTCTGAGATTCAAAAAACAGTCTTTCTCTTAGTTTAAATGGATATATTCTAAATCCACTATTGTTTAAACCAGTAAACTGAAAGTTTCAAGCGCGCACAAGTAGTTTTAATAAATATGTTGAGCAAAATACTGACTCATACGATAATACATTAAACCAATCCCGCAATATAAGAATAACGGTAGTACACAGATATTCATAGTAGTAGTAATGAAACTCATTGCTTTATAATGTGAGCAAAATGAATAGGCAGTGGTTGGGGTAGATAGTGCGTAAAAGCGGCGTTCACTTGGGATGAACAAATCCTAGGAATGGAAACCAGGTTACGTCAAATAGCACACGGAATACTGGATAGTCAGGCCGCTACGAGTCAGGCCGCTTCGAGTCAGGCCGCTTCGAACCATTCAATATAGGAATACTTGGGGCCTACGATCAGCAGTTGACATCATGCGGTTGATATCATGTGTTTAGGTAATAGGTAATAGATTAAGCTTTTTAGGACTACGTTACGTACGTATGTGTACATTAATGCTCAGTTTTTTTTTAAATTTAATCCCATAAGAGCGACTGACGCGAGCAAGAGTCATAGTAAACAGTCGTGATTGGATCATCGTTTCATTGAAGTATTGAACATTTTATTAATAACTAGTGGTCCTCCAGTAGCCGAAATTCGACTATAATTAATTGAAATTATAGGTTTGAACATTATTAGGGTTCTATTGTCAAAGACTATTAATATACTTCTATAATCACAGATTTCGCCAAGACTACACTATAGACAATTAATATTAAAGGCAAAATATTAATCTATTCTCAATTTAACCACAGACTGTAACAACAAACAAATGAGTATAAATGTGTGTGTGTGTGTGTGTGTGTGTCAAATATGTGATAGTGTGTGTAATGTTTTTTTTATTGATTTAATGTATTTTTATGGTAATTTAAAAAAAATATTAGCTTTCTGCACTCCTCTATATTACTCTATAAGTGTGGGAAATTTCATTCTCCGTCCGCGCAATTTTCGTAAAAAAAGGGTACGAAGTTTTTGCTTCACGTATTATTATATAGATTTTGCCTATAGGTAGCAGTTGAATATCGCTCTTTTACATTGTCATTATAGTATTTTCGGCATTTCGAATACTTTTCAGTTTTCGTGGTCATCACGGACGACTCCAATGGCATTAATGATAATTTTACCTACTAGTAAAATAATATTTTCGCGATATTTGAAATAATTTTTACTTGTGCGAGATGTGTGAGGTGGGATTAATGTTCTCAGTGAAATTTGTACGTTAAGTTTTTTTTTTTTTTTATAACAACTAAGAGGCAAACGAGCAAGACGGCTCACCTGATGGTAAGTGATTCACCGCCGCCCACGGTCACCAGCGTTTACGCCAGTGCGTTGCCTACCTTTCAGATAAGAATATGCTCTTTTCTTGAATAACCCAATGTCGCAGTTGTTGCAGTATATCTTTATTGTTATGTGGTCTGTGAGCTGCGTTGAGCATTTTTTTACTGCACATATGAGTGTACGTGCTCCCAGAGATCGCATCGTAAAGCAGTTGCCGTCGCCAATAGATATCGTAACGCAAATGTTGTCACCCACCCTCGGACAAAAGTCGAAATATCAATTTTTAACAGTAGGCAGCGGCTTAGCTCTGCCGCTGGCATTGCTGAAGTCCATAGGCGACGGTAACCATTCACCGTTAGGTGTGCTATATGTCCGCCTGCATACAAGGGCAATAAAAAAATATTCTATAACGGCTGTTCCTCATTTCAAACTGGAACATGTGACTGTTTTTGCTACGAAAAAATGCAGGAGCCTAGCAACCACGCGTGCGGTCTCACAATTTGTGATACCACCAGCACATGTCGGTTGGGTACGGGTTGGGGTCACCTTTTACCGACACTCATGGAAATTGATAAGTTATTAAGATAAGGAAACTGCTATTCTAGGCTGACACCGCATAACACACAGTATTGTTTGCAAATACGATGTCCTCTTGTACTTTACCTATGGTTGTACGTCAATAGATAGCTGTTTTATTAGTGTTGGTTAATTATTAAAAAAAAACGAACGTATTTCATATATAATATACTAAGAATAAATTAATTAGAAGTCGTTGTCCACGCAGAGTTTATTTACCGATACAGTTTATAAAAACAATGGAACTTGGTGATTATTTCATTACAGCAACATTAAAATGTTATTAAGTGAAGTTGGTTGCTTTTTTTTATCATTTAATTAATTTATTCTGAAATCAATGGAAAAAAAAGAGTTCACTGCGAGTTATAGTCCAATTAACAGATATTTGAGAATAGAAGTGTTTTAAAAACAGCGTGGACGGGTTAGATCATTAGATGCGCTTTCAGTCCTAGTGTTAAGGGTTCACCGAAAATCCACAGTTAACTTTATTTGAGATAAATTGAATGCCGCTGTCCACCGTGAGACATGAGGGCCAATTTTTAACAGCATTGGCTTCAAGGCTCTCCTGAACTTTAAACCGAATAAAATGATTGTTACGCAAAAATATTGTCACAATATGCCCTAACTTACTACGTTCATGATTTGAGTTAGAGGGACAGAGTTTATGTTAGAAAATAGGGCAGTACATTACCAATACCATTGGATGATGGGGAAATAAGGGAACTAAATACTAAATTGAGGAACCAAGTGCGTGTTACGTACAGACTAATGTGAGTGAGACTTTACGTCCTTGCAATGATTAGGTACTAATAGAATTAACGAATATGAAAATCAGATTTGTAGAATCCTTTGTGATTGTCAATACATAGCACGTATTGGTACTAGAGTATCAGAATCTGATTGAGGTCACCTAAAACAATTGCGCGAGATAGTAACTGCGATAATCGTCCGGTTTTCGGTGACCCACATGCTCAATGTCTGAATTCTTATTAATGAGCATGGAGCTACTATTAATATGAACCGCTCTGTTTACACTTCTGGTAATTTTCTGTAATTTTTTTCTCATTTTTACCAGATGTCTGTGCTGTGTTACCCAATCACTGCATCCCTCCCCTCATCCTTGCGTCGATTTCCCGATGCTGGGGGCCGTGACTCATCAAGGCATAACGTTTTCCCCGCTTGATGTTCCTTCATTGGTTCTGACTTAGTAGCTTGTACCGCCTCGATGACTCTTTCACTTTGTGGGGTGGCAGGGTTTTGGTTTGTCGACCGCGCATTCGACCCATTTCTTTCGACATTTCGTCGCTTTAATGCCCATGCTCATTGCTTTGGTTTCATAAGATTAGTTCCTGTTCTAGCCGACAATTAGTCATATATCGTCTTTTCGCATTAAAACTGTATAATCTCAAAACTTGCCAATTTTACAGGAGAGTATTTTAAAGGCTTAACATGTGATATTTTTAATATTAATCATCGTTGCAACATTTATTTTTTATTTTTTACCGGTTACATTATAAGATAAAATTATGTACTATTAATTTTGATAATAGTAGTCAAAACATAGGTAAACTAAAAAAAAAATAACTAAAACTACGCTCTTTTGACAGTATTTATGAGAAAAATACTGGTGATACCAAATGTTTACGCATATTCACTCAATTTTGAATATTTTTGGAAATGTACACTTTTTGTTTTAATGCGAGAAACGATATATTACCTGTTCAGTTGTTTTCCATTAATATTTGCGAACGTACAAAATTCCTTCGTAGATAAATTATTGAATAAAGGTCAAAGATTATTCTGCAGTTCGTGATGTCATAATCATTATTCTGTGATTACGAAAATTTTATAGTTTCGCCTCTCGTGTCGGTATATGACTCACGAATCTTAGTGTGTCATAGTTATATATCTTATCTGACGGTCTTATCATTAGCTATGTAGTCTTTTGTGAAATGCGTTCGAGCATCGTAGATTCTTGTTTATTTGTTTTCACGTTACGTGGAAATCGAGAATACCGTTCTATAAAAATATGGAAACAATGTATCATAATTAATGTTGATTACATTTGAGTTTTGTAGTCGCATTTAGTACAAAATATACTTCTATATCTTCTTCTCTATCTTCTATCTTCTATTATAATTCTCTATCTTCTATATCTATATTCTTCTTCTATATAAATGTACTAAATATACATACTTCCGATGAAATATGATTCCTATTTAACCTTAAATCTTTCAATCCTAAGTATCTTGCTTGAATGCCTAAAGAGAGTTATAATAGGAAAAATACTATACTACGGATTTGTGTTGCCGTTTTAATTATTTTCGTTATGTGGTCAGGTAGATCTTACGCTGATAGTATTTTAACTGGTCACTGATAAGGGATCATGGTACGCTAACGGTGCCGCCTCTAGTAGTTTTACGGCATTCAACTTTCACAGTAACAGTATTTTCTCATTATTAAAACTGTTTTTACGGTTTAATCTCGTGTTTTTTATGTTTTGAATACTTTACGGTTTTCATGAATACGGATGACCAAGGCGTTATTCGTCGCCATTTGGAGTAATACTTGTAGTATTCAAAATAAGTATAGTAACTTAAAACTTTTTAGTCGTCGTGGCCTAACGGATAAGACGCCCGGTGCATTCGTGTCGAGTGATGCGACGAGTGACAGTGTTCGAATCCCGCAGCCGGTATCAATTTTTCTAATGAAAAACGTAGTTATCTAAATGTCACGAATTACTTCTATGATGAAGAAATATTAAATAAATAAAATAAATAAAACTCGCAAAAATTATAATTTGGGTCTATTACGATTACGATTCTTGTCATAATTATATTTTAATGACAAAATAAACGCATTTTTATTGTTCGCAGTGCTCAACCTGACGCTGATTGATTTGCCGGGTCTGACAAAAGTGCCAATCGGTGATCAGCCTATAGATATCGAGCAGCAAATCAAAGGGATGATATTCCAGTTCATCAGACGCGAATCATGCCTTATCCTGGCAGTTACTCCGGCCAACACGGATTTGGCCAACAGCGATGCTCTGAAGCTTGCCAAAGAAGTAGACCCACAAGGTTTGTTGAATAAAATTCAAAGTTTATTATTAACATGTATACATTTATAAAATTTATTATCCCATCGCCGAATATAAGGAACGCCGTGTGATTTCATTTAATTATTAATTTGTTAGTAACGACTTTTATCGTGAACGTTAAATTGAACGAAAGCACAATGTTTGCTACAAATAAAATGGTATAAAAGAATACCTGAACAATATTGATTTATCAATGTTTTAATTTTAAATATTACTTGTGTTTAACATTAACAGTTGAAATATTCGCTATTTTTTTAAATTAATTATAAATTAAATTAAATTATCGATATTTGCTAGTTCATTATTGTTTCGTATTTTTTTAGTAAATCATTTTATTACAACTATTGTGTTTCCTAAATATTACCGGTCATCGTTCTCGTCGAATCCGTCGCTTGCGACGAAGGGCTCCAAGAGTAAATTAACCCACAGACACAGCCCACTGAGTTTCTCGCCGGATCTTCTCAGTGGGTCGCGTAACGCGTTTCCGATCCGGTAGTAGATTCTGGTGAAGCACGGCTCTTTTGGTCTCACGTCGTCAGGTTTGAACCCCGTGAGCTCACCTACTAGTTAAGGTTACGCTGAAATAGCCTCTCAAAGCTATCAGCTTAGGTAGGGAAAAAAAAGCGCACTTAAAAAAAATATGTGTATTTTTTCTTGTTTAAACATTTAATTATGCCTTCGTGTTCCACAAGCCGAAACACAAATAAAGACAAAGATGCTACTTTTCATGCATAAGTATTTGTAAACAATTTAAATTGATTTATTTAAAATACACGTCTGGAGCGGCTTAGCGGGATGAAGAAGAGGCGTGAGGGGTGGAGAAGCGGCGGACTGCCAAAGATTATATATACTAAACAGAATCGTTAAAGTTCTGATGGTAACGATCTCTATACGGCATCGTTTCTTTTTGTGAAACTGGAATTGAATAAAATGATATACTATGATATGAAATGATAAATAAATATTCGAATCACATAATTTAATTAACGTGTCGTTACATCTGTTGGTTTATGAGTTGGAAAACTAAAAAAAAAAACATCGGTTTCCAGGATTGCGTACTATCGGCGTAATAACAAAATTAGATTTGATGGACGAGGGTACCGATGCGCGGGACGTGCTCGAGAACAAGCTGCTGCCGCTGCGCCGAGGCTACATCGGAGTCGTCAACCGATCGCAGAAAGACATTGACGGTCGCAAGGACATAGCCGCTGCACTTGCGGCTGAGAGAAAATTCTTCCTTAGGTGATTCATTTGCAATACCAAAACTTTGTTGACGAGTGATAATTCTTTTTTTTATTGCTTTGATGTGTGGACGAGCTCCCAACCCACCTATGTTAAGTGGTTACCGGAGCCCATAGATATCTACAACGTAAATGCGCCACCTACCTTGAGATATGTGTTCTAAGGTCTCAGTATAGTTACAACGGCTGCCCCACCCTTCAAATCGAAACGTATTACTGATTCATAGCAGAAATAGGCAGCGTGGTGGTTGGTACCCTTGCGGACTCACAAGAAGTCCTACCACCATTAATTACGCAAATTTGCGGGTTTGATTTTTATTACACCATGTTATTATTCCTTCACCGTGGAGGTCAATCGTGAACATTTTGTAATAAGTCGTATAATAATAATGAGTTTTTTTTTTGTTTTGTTTGTTATTAACAGCCACCCGTCATACCGTCATTTGGCCGATCGTCTCGGTACCCCTTACCTACAGCGAGTGTTGAACCAACAGCTCACCAACCATATCCGCGACACTCTGCCCAGTCTCCGTGACAAGTTGCAGAAACAACTACTGACCTTGGAGAAGGACGTCGACCAGTACAAGCATTTCCGACCCGATGACCCGTCTATTAAAACTAAGGCCATGTTGCAGTAAGTTCTTAAAGTACATAGTAATACTGCATTTTAATGAAATTGTTTTCGAAATACAATATTTGTATTTTACTAAATGCACCTTGCATTTTATAAGACATATAAGGACGTATCTTTACATGACCTAAATGTGCAAACAATAATTGTCAACAGAGTTAAGCATAGCGCTAGTAACAGTGAAACTCATTGAATATTGAAATCAGAAAAATGATTGAATATTTAAAATCTATTTGTTGATTAGCATTTGTTTAATGCATCAACGAATCGATATTATTTGTTAAAATAGGTCATTTATGGGCAGGATAGGGTAGTTTTCAATCTGTTCATACCTGGTAGAATATAAATGCTTATATTAACCCTTCTTGAAAATAATTACTTTTAAATCATAATTAGTTGGTACATCAACAATAACGCTAAAGACGAACACATCCGGTAGTTGCCGTTGGATTGTGTGTTTTGCATGCAATGTAACAAAATAAAGAAATCAGCTGACACGCGCGGTCATTGACCTCGACGGAACGCTGGTCCGTCCGCAGCTGTTTTCTGTGCGCTTAAAAAAACGACAAGTATTATAATTCTAAATAATGAACAAAGTAGCTGATGTTTATTAATTTATCGACAGAATGATTCAGACTTTGCAAACCGATTTTGAACGCACCATCGAAGGTTCCGGATCGGCGCAGATCAACACCAACGAATTGTCCGGTGGCGCTAAGATCAACAGGCTTTTCCACGAACGTTTTCCTTTTGAAATTGTCAAAATGGAGTTTGACGAAAAGGAACTGCGCCGCGAGATCGCGTTCGCCATTCGAAATATCCACGGTATCCGAGTAAGTCAACTATATTTTTAACCATTTGACTGAACGCACTGAAGCAATTATGAAGCGATTTCTGTTACTAAGGCGCCGAAACATCTAGTATTTTTATGGCAATTATATGTGAATAAGCTTACAACGCTTCTGGTGTTTGGCGATGCCTGGAACTCATAGCCGTCATCCACCTTGAGATGTTAAGTTTATGTATTTATAATTGTCATTCGACACGAAATAGACATCTGTAGAAATTTAATTTGCATAAGTCATATTGAGATAGTTTACAAGGTGGGTTCGTTGAATTTCGCTAAGTATCAACTTAATTGTTTTGATAGGTGGGTTTGTTCACACCGGATATGGCGTTTGAGGCTATCGTGAAAAAGCAGATCGGACGTCTGAAGGAGCCGTGCCTGAAGTGCGTCGATCTGGTTGTGCAGGAGCTGTCCAACGTTGTACGGATTTGCACCGAACGAGTATGTAACATAATTCGATAACGTAATTAAATTTTACAACAGCAATACATTATTATTATTATTTTATTGCTTAGTTTACTTTAGTATTTTTACTGGTGGTAGGACGTCTTGTGGTAGGTACCACCACCCTGTCTATTTCTGCCGTGAAGCAATAATGCGTTTCGGTTTGAAGGGCGGGGCAGACGTTGTAACTATACTGAGACCTTAGAAACTTATATCTCAAGGTGGATGGCGCATTTACGTTTTAGATGTCTATGGGCTTCAGTAACCACTTAATACCAGGTGGGCGGTGAGCTCGTCCACCCATCTAAGCAATAGAAAAAAAATAGTTGGAAATATTTATGAGGTTTTGGCACATGGCAAAGTAGTTACTGGAGTTCATAGACACCGCAGGGTTAATGCTGACAGCCAAGGTTTGTATAAAAAAAAAACTACATCTAAGCTTATTAATATTGTTCTTTAATTGCAGAACACATACATACAACAAATGTATTTAGACGCTAGCCACAACGTAGCATACGGCAGTCCTTAACGTAGAAATGTTTGGTTTTGAAAAACGTGAATACTCTCAGAATTTTAATACGTTTAGTTGAAGATGTTGGTCTTTGTTGTCTGTTTTGATTAGCACGGTGAGGTGACCATAAATTTGGAAAGATATTTTTAGTGAAATCAGCCCGAACCTAGTTATTTTTCTTTTTATCTATCACATCTTCAAAAAAAAATCGGTAGACTATATACGTTCTCATGAATACAGACACGTCATCTCGGATCCTCCCGATCCATTAGCGGTGCTTTTAGGTACCTCAAGCACCGGTCATCGTTCTCGTCGAACCCGTCGCTTGCGACGAAGGGCTCGGCGAGTAAATTAACTCACAGACACAGCCCACTGAGTTTCTCGCCGGATCTTCTCAGTGGGTCGCGTTTTCGATCCAGTGGTAGATTCTGCGAAGCACTGCTCTTGCTAGGGTTCGTGTTAGCAACAACGTCAGGATTGAGCCCCGTGAGCTCACCTACTAGCCCGGTGACGCTGACATACTTCTCTAGGCTAGGCTTCTCTAGACCATCAGATTAGGTAGGAAAAAAAAATGAATACGCCATGACAGGGTAATGAAGCACATGCATCTATTAGTAGACAAGCTGTACCCATCTGCTTCGCTGGGCATTTAAAATTAACATTATTATTTTTCACCCCCACAAAGATTCTCATCATTAACGCCCTCGCAACTGGTGTAGGGAGTTCAACACTCATATAAATATTAGCCCATCCGTTAAAGTACATGTATTTTTTACATGGATACCAATTCTCAAGTCAATCGGATGCATGGTTCAGTAGTTACAACGGAACATCCGTAAAAACCACTGTAGATTTATATATTAGTATAAATACAACAACAACATAATCACACAAAACATTAATCTTATTTGACATACAATTTACAGATGTCTCGTTACCCGCGCCTGCGCGAAGAGACGGAGCGCATCATAATGTCGCACGTGCGCTCGCGGGAGCAGATGTGCAAGGATCAGCTGGTGCTGCTCATCGACTGCGAACTGGCTTATATGAATACCAATCATGAAGATTTCATTGGATTCGCGAAGTTAGTAAAATATATTTATATTTTGAATTAAGAAATGAGAACATCCCTTTTAAAGATAAATGATGTTGAATTGTTGACGGATTTCTCTTCTTCTCGTCTTGTATTTTATATTACATATTTTCTTTTCGGCAACAGCGCACAAAATCAGTCTGAGAACTCTGCGAAGTCAGGACATCGAGCGCTCGGAAATCAGGTGATCCGAAAAGGATACATGTGCATTCACAATCTGGGAATTATGAAGGGTAGGTTTTTTTCTTAAATCGTTATATGCATTAGTTGATATGTCCGATTTCTGCTTTATTATGTAATATAAATTAATTTTAATATTTTCGGCTGTGTGGCATAGAAAATCATGGCAATTGTTCCCACGGGTTTCCTTTAAGGCGACTAAGGCCTAGGCCGCACTACGGTGAAACCGCAGCGGCTATTAACCGTGTGAGTTTACGAAACACGAAAACGAATATAAGCGGCCGCACTTGCGGTTCCTTCCCGCGACTGATTTTAAAACCGCGAAATGTTTCAAAATTGTTGCGGAAAAAAACCGCAACAAAATTTATAATCCATAGAACTAGGTATCCGTGCACGCACTATGCGTAACCGCGGGCGGTTTTTTGAAATGTCAAATACATTTGCGAAATTTTGTTTCCATCAACTGACATCCGATAGTAATTGAAAAAAATCTCTAAGTGTTTTCTTACATTTTGATATTTCTTATGAAAGAAACCTTTCTCAAATCTACGGCTAGTAAGTAGATGGACCCATCGTTTGTGAAATTTTCGTTGTCGTTTTTTCTATTTCTTAGTACCAGAGCAACACTACATACTGGCTCTTTTGAAATTTATCCATCTGCAAACTGTGAAAATCGCGGGCAAATTCGCGGTTAATAATTGTAGTGTGTGAGTCTGAAGCGGTTTCGCGGTTATAGCGGTTAACCGCTCACGGGAAAAAACCGTAGTGCGGCCTAGGCCTAAGGGATTCCCCGTAGAGTGAACAGCAGTGTTCTCTGAGTATTATAAGTATTTTATAAGAGTTTAAATTTCATGCTAGACACGGAGCCTATAGTTAGAGATATGTTGTCAAAGTTTTGTGTGTTACGCTAAGTCTATATTTTATGTCTCTCATACACATAAATAAAAAAATTTAATTGTTATAATGATCTTAGAGATTTATACATAACAAATATATTTTATTTATCTTTACCTAAAAGTATATACATATAAATTTACAGTGGTTTTTACGGATGTTCCGTTATAACCACTGAACCATGCATCCGATTGACTTGAAACTTGGTATCCATGTAGAAATTAAATGCACTTAATGGATAGGCTAATATTTATTATGTGGGGTGAGAAATAATAATGTTAATTTTAAATTAAAAACAGCTAACCTTTACTAGTTATATTGTTTTTTAAATTTTATAAGACACTACACGTTCCTCTCCACTGCCTTATGATTCGATTTTTTTGTAAAGTTTTGAATTTAATTTGAAAATTTATAGGAGGTTCCCGCGACTACTGGTTCGTACTGACTTCTGAGAGCATCTCGTGGTACAAGGATGAAGAGGAGCGGGAGAAGAAGTACATGTTGCCCCTCGACGGGCTCAAGTTGAGAGATCTCGAGCAGGGCTTCATGTCGCGGCGACACATGTTCGCACTCTTCAACCCTGAAGGCAGAAATGTTTACAAGGTCAGTCATACATTTACTGGTGGTAGGACCTCTTGTGAGTCCGCACGGGTAGGTACCACCACCCTGCCTATTTCTGCCGTGAAGAAGTAATTCGTCTCGGTTTGAAGGGTGGAGCAGCCGTTGTAACTGTACCTTAGACCTTAGAACTTATATCTCAAGGTTGGTGGCGCATTTACGTCGTAGATGTCTATGGGCTCCAGTAACCAACTGACACCTTAAGGAAGGTGGGCTGTGAGCTCGTCCACCCATCTAACCAATAAAAAATAAAAAATCTAGATTTTAAAATTAGAATCTATGTTTTCAAAAACCTATATTCTATTAGGGTCTGTGAAAATTTACATGTGTCTGAACCAGTTTTCGACGAAGTTTTTAATCTATAATATGTTTAAAGAAAAACCGTAAGCATTTAAAACCTTTAAAACTGTTTAGTTTTAAACAAGATTTTTCTTAGACGGAATCACTCACCTGTCTGTCATTCAGTGAAGAGAATAGTTCAGAGTACATACAATAATACTGTAAACATATTAATTTTAAAAGAGATTAAGGGCTTTAAATGTTGTTTTCTTATTGTGTCACAGAAAACGCAATTAAGTCTTTTATGGTATATTCGTTCAATTATATCGCACTTTAGAATTATAGAGATCCATCCAAAAAAATGTGTTATTTGGAAAACAAATCGAAAAGATGTAGAGGAAGGGGACGGAGTGAAAGAGAGCGATGGATAGCTTTGTCTCCTTTTAAGCTACTTTTGCTTTATTGATTATTAAGAGTCGCTGAAAAAGGTAGTTCTAGGTCCATTTTTGAATTAAAGTCGAAGTCTCTATAATTGTAAAGGTGCGATATGTATATATATTTATTTATTTCTAATACCAGGATTACAAGCAATTGGAGTTGTCGTGTGAAACTCAAGATGACGTCGATTCGTGGAAGGCTTCGTTCCTGCGCGCGGGAGTCTACCCCGAGAAGACATCGGAGGCGGCCAACGGCGACGAGGTGAGCTCGATATCCTTTGCTAATAAACTTAAGGAGGCTTCCAAGGTGATTGTAAACTTCGACTCCCACTCTGCCCCTCTTGCATTGCCCCATAAGTATGGGTGGCACCAAATATAAAATCGCAAACTTTTTTTTTTTTTAAATCAACTACTACTTTCAAATTTCAAATCTGTAGTTTGAAAGTTTGTATAAAATTATATTGAACTTTTAGATTCAATAAAAGATTACCGAAGGCTGTCGGCAAAACCCTTTTCTTTTCTACTCTTACTTACCGCTAAGCTTCAATATTAAATTGCTTTATGAAATATCAATTGCTGTCATCTAATAAGTGTGTCGGTGTATTATAAGAAATCTTATTTTGGCATGCCTCGCAGAACGAAGGATCTGAGGTTTGTCAACGTAGAACTAAGCGAGACATGTAACATACACACACATACTAAAATTCTATGTCGATTGTCTACACCACAACATGAAAGTGAATTTCAAGAATACTCTCCGATTTGAAATTACAATGTATTTTATTTTTTATTTGTTTTAGTGAAGTTTAAATTTATTGACAAAATTAAATCGAGTGTTGAAAGGCTATTTGTTTTAAGTGAAATTTCGCTTAAGACGCAATATTTATGTTTGTAATTAAAGGTCCGTTTTATTTGGTATTAGCATCAAAAAATATATGTTTTTAAATGTTAACTTTACTCCATTGAAATAGCTGAAGTTTTGTTTGTTATGATATTTTTTCCAAAATTTTAAACTTTAAATGGCTCTCATGTGAAGTTGCAAAAATGTCGCTTAAACTACATAGCCTTTTGCCCGTCGAAATAATGAATTAGAATGTTTCTTGAAATGCATTATGTAATTTAGTAGCATGAAACGCGTTTAGAGCTATTCGTACAGTTATAAGATCACGCAAATATCCAGTACACGCTGTTTATACATTATATCTTACTAGTGGCCCCGCAGTAGTCGAGATTCGACTTATAATTAATTGAAATTATAATTAAATTGAAACACTATTATACTTCGATAATATAATCACAGTATTCGCCAAAACTGCACTATAGATCAATAATATTAAAGACAAATAATATTAATCTATTTTCAATTCGACCACAGACTTTAAACAATAACAAAAGTTTCCCAATGGACAGTAAACATAGAGTATATTTTTATGTATGTATTGTGTCAAATACATGGTAGTGTGTGTATTGTTTTCTTTATTGATTTAAAGTATCTTTTATGCATTATTTTAAAAAAAATATTAGAATTGTGCACTCCTTTTCTATATTCTCTATAAGCGTTCATGAAGTTAGTGAAATTTCATACTCCTCCGCGCAATTTTCGTAAAAAGGGGTACAAAGTTTTTGCTTCACGTATTAATATATAGATTATGTCATCGATTCACAAAACGTTTTAATATTTGGTGTTCGTATGAAAACGAACAGTCGTAAAGATGTAACTTCAATATTAACTTTCAAAATATTTAGACTCACGACGTTCTTGTATATCGTTATGTTCTGTTTTAGCATGTGTGTTTTATTTTTATTTTTAGTTATTTCCGCCTTCCCTGGGTTTGGGTGAAAATGCAGGAAGAGTAAGTCTCCCGAGTTTTAAAAGCTTTGAATGCTGAATTCTAATTTAGTGAGGTGGTTTTTCACTGATTTAGTATAGAAATGCTCATGGCGTACCTCATGTTAAACAGCCTATGAATTTACAGAGGTTTTTTTTTTTTGCGGTTTGGAAACTGCGTCTATTTTGAAATTGAAATGCATGATTGATTGCTTTGAAATGCAAAACCAATGGCAGCCGGGATGCAGAGTCGTTTAGTCTTTTTCTTAGGATTTTAATTTTTTGCAATTTCGCATGTAATTTTGCAATTATACTCTATTGAAAATGGAGTTATACTTGTGATCTAATAAAAAAAAGGTGTTGGTTTATTCGTTAGAAAGGACGGTGGGTTTGACATTATTTTAAAACTTTAATAATAAATAAGGTATTTTTAGTAAATCATTCCGTAGTTCGTTCGAGTGTTGATTTCATTTTTAGCAAACGAACTAACACTAACACATTGATATGGATGTTATTTCTAATCAACGAATAGTGTTCAATGGCTTACTCTTCTCGCTTTGGAATCGAGCGATGATTGTATACTTTTGAGATGATAATATTATGTATACTGCATGCATGCTAAAATCAGCCCCCCTTTTCGGTACTCGAATAAAGTCATGGTGTTGTAATTGAACGAAATATTTAAAAAAAAACGTTGTAATGTTATTCTTTCGATATAAATTTTAATGTCGTTTTTGGATTTCAATTTCAATAAAAAAGGATATAATTTTGATTCGTGTTACTTCTGAAGTTTTCATATTAACACTAATGTACAAATTTTGTTGATCGAAAGTATTCAGTGATATTATGTATGTAGTGAATAAAATATATTATTGTTATCATCATCATCATATTTTGGGCTTGGAAGTTTGCTTGGAATGTATGTAATACAGAACTGAGTATTAGTGTTTTTTTCCAGAATTCGGACAGCACAGGCACCAGCAGTATGGACCCGCAGTTAGAGAGGCAGGTGGAGACCATCCGTAATCTGGTGGATTCGTACATGCGCATCGTGACGAAGACAACGCGAGATCTCGTCCCCAAGACAATCATGATGATGATTATCAATAATGCCAAAGACTTCATTAATGGAGAATTACTCGCGCATCTGTATGCGTCCGGGGATCAGGTGATAGTTGCTTTGAAATATTAAAAACTATAATAATCTTTAGTTACGAGTTAAATTGCATTGTCATTTTTTAGGTAACAAATAATATCGAATACTACAATTGATGAAGAATATTATTATTATTGTTTTTGGCATAGATGGGTGGACGAGCTCACAGCCTATCTGGTATTAAGTGGTTACCGGAGCCCATAGACATCTACAACGTAAATGAGATATGATTTTTTTAAGATCTCAGTATAGTTGCAACGGCTGCCCCACCCTTCAAAGAGAAATGCGTTACTGCTTCACGGCAGAAATAGGCAAGGTGGTGGTACATACCCGTGCGGACTCACAAGACGTCCTACCATTACGCAAATTACGCAAATTATAATTTTGCGGGTTTGATTTTTATTACACGATGTTATTCCTTCACCGTGAGATACCCGTCTGGGATTCGAACACCGGTGCATCGTTCAACACGAATGCACCGGACGTTTTAGCCTTTAGGTCACGACGACTTCAATTAGATAATTAGTTTAGGAATACAGTCTATATGGTTTTTGCATATACATATTAAAATAATTATCAATTTTCTTAGATTCTTATTAGATTAAGGCTCGACTCTAAATTCGAAATTTTATTCACAGTCTCAAATGATGGAAGAGTCTCCCGAGGAGGCACTGAAGCGTGAAGAGATGTTGCGCATGTACCACGCGTGCAAGGAGGCGCTGCACATCATCGGCGACGTGTCCATGGCCACCGTGAGCACGCCCGTCCCGCCGCCCGTCAAGAACGACTGGCTCGAGAGCAGACTCGACTCCAACCCGAGACTGTCGCCGCCCTCGCCCGGCGGCCCGCGCCGCGCCGCACCCGCGCAGCAAGGCACGTACACGCTCTGACACGCATTGACAGATGTGCGGGTGCGCACGCACATAGTCTCGTGAACATCCATTGCTTAACATGTCACATAATTGCATTTCTATCTATATATCGACGCTTGAAAGGCAAACGTGACTCAATAACTGCTTTGTACATAAATTGATAGGCAACAACCATATTCTATGCGCAAAAAAAAAATATTTCTAGATATATTAAAATCATTTCAATCCTACAGCTAGATTCGATAAAATAGAATTTTTTTCAGGTATTTCAAATTTAAATTAGTCTACTGTAAAGTTCACGCATTGTCGCTTAGTCGCGTTTGCCTTTCAAGCGTTGATATATAAAAATGAATTGCTGTTCGTTAGTATCGCTAAAACCCGAGAACGGCTGGACAGATTTGGCTAATTTTGGTCTTGAATTATTTGTGGAAGTCCAGAGAAGGTTTAAAAGGTAGATAAATATGAAAATGCTCGGAATTAAAAAAAAATAACAATTTTGCTTTTCCTTTGATGTGTCCCCAGTCGGACGGATTCCTTTTGATTGTTTTAAGTTTATATTATACAAAAGTTTAGGTCTTTTATTTGTCGATTGAGGCACTATGAAGTCTGCCGAGTCAGCTAGTTTTTTACATATTTTTAATGGATGGACGAGCTCACGTCCCATCTGTTAAGTGGTAACTAGACCCCATAGACACGTACAACGTAAATGCGACTACCCTCCTCGAGACAAGAGTAGTAAATTCTCGTCTTTAACAGGACAACGGTGGCCCCACTCTTCAAACTGAAACGCGTTATTGCCTCACGGCTGAAATAGGCAGGGTAGTGATATATTAGAACATTCGAAAGTATTAAAGTAAAATAAAATGGTAATATATTACCAATATGTGATCTAATTATTGAATGGTTGAAGTTTAAATTGCGTTACAATAACAGCCCTTATAAGTAAGTGCAGCTTGAATCACGTCTTTACGGATCCATCAGATCCAATAACTTTTGCATTAGACGCCTTCAGCTCTAACACTAGGAGCAGGTTTAGGGACCTCGGTAACCGTACTCGTCGAACTCGACAAAGAGTTCGCCGTGCAACCTAACCCATGAATCAGCCCGCTGAGTTTCTCGCCGGATCTTCTCAGCGGGTCGCGATTCCGATCCGGTAGTAGATTCATTCGCGAAGCAGCTACTCTTGAGCTGTTAGGTCTCCTTCGGAGGCGCTCGGGTAGCTGTTAGCAAATCCCACCCCNTTAGGGACCTCGGTAACCGTACTCGTCGAACTCGACAAAGAGTTCGCCGTGCAACCTAACCCATGAATCAGCCCGCTGAGTTTCTCGCCGGATCTTCTCAGCGGGTCGCGATTCCGATCCGGTAGTAGATTCATTCGCGAAGCAGCTACTCTTGAGCTGTTAGGTCTCCTTCGGAGGCGCTCGGGTAGCTGTTAGCAAATCCCACCCCTACTGGCTGAGCCTTTGCTCGCCCACCTGTCCTGGTGAAACTGGAAAGGCCTCCGGGCCACCAGCAATCCTTCAATCATAAAAAAAAGGGTCTCACTAAACACTTGACGTTAATAATTAAAGTAAATACTAAAATTAAAGCATTAAAATATGGAATTTCATTGAATGTGTTATTATTAGGTTCATTGGGTCAGCGCGGAGCTCCCCCGCCGCCCGGAGCGGGTGCAGGACGTCCGGCGCCGCCGCTCCCCTCGCGGCCGGGAGGCGCCGCCCCCCCGCCCCCCGCTGCCAGACCCGTGCCCTCACAGGGTCTGCCCGCACCGCTCATTCCCACGTGAGTATATATCTCTGTGTGCATCACGCATCAGTGTCAACAACTGTACTAGAGGCAGCATAACCAGACTGGCCTTGACGTAAAGCGCGATAGCAGTACTTGCTAGATACACATGGTATTGCTAATACGAGACGTGTCTGTGGATGAATACTACTGAATAAATACTTCGTCACTGTATCGCGGATCCGGGGTCTCGTTGTATTTGTCTTTTTCTCGTATGTGTTTGTTTGAGGTACACAACACGATGAATAATCCTAGCTTCATACTATTCAATGTGGAACGTTTGTGGATGTTCATGAGGATATACCATCAACTTTCATCTACAAAATTGCAATACACAAATGCTAAACCCACCGTTTGTATGTTTTTCAATCAATCTCAAATAAGCTCCCACGAGAATATATGAAAGAATTAATAGAAAGAAATAAATGACATAAGTTATTGTTATGAACCGTTGGAAATGAATCACATTGAAAACGTGTCAAAAATTCATAGATAAATATGTATGTGTATGTGTATATGTATATATGTATATGTATGTGTATATGAAGTTATGTAAGTTGTCAATTTGGAATTTGATTTACGAAAGTTTAGATAGAATAAGTTAAGTAAATTAATTTAATTTAAAAAACTCGCTATAAAATACTTTTTTATTTGAAAAATAAAAAGGTCGCGTAATGAAGAATTTTGGAATTTTAATTTTAAAAAAATGACCAAAAGTAACCAAAAATTAACTAATTTACATTAAAGGTTGGTATTCAAGAGCCTACTATTAAAATAAATGTACTTGGGCTTTGTGTGATAATTTTAAATGTTGTGTGAGTGAATAATGTAACTGCCATAATATGGAGCCAAAGCTTTATAAATCCGTATTTATATAATGTTTATTTATTTAAATCATGAATACTTATGTATTTAATGCTTATATCAAGTCTTTGGGTAAACTCTAACAAAACTGCCGATAACATAAAGGTTTTGAAATTTGCAAATCATTGTCAAAGCAATCTAGTGTTCATTTAATTAATGAATTATTTGGTGCGTTTTTTTTTCTGGTGCAAAGATTAACAAAGTTTTAAGTTAAAAATGCATTAGATATTGGTTGTTTTCGCAGGCGGCGCTAAGGTCGCAGCTTCTACGCGCGTCCTCTAACATTAGTTACGTACGAAAATAAGGTACTAACAATGCTTGTTAACTTATTACTAACATCAGAATAATTAGTAAAATCTCTATATTTTCATATATATCAATTCAAAGAGGTGCTGGGCAGGATATTACATTAAATGAGCTCTATCTATATACGCTTATCGGTAAAACGTAATGATACTAGTTTTGCTTAAACTACGCTATAAAGGATTACAATTTATTTTTTAATTATTAATTTAGTAAATATATAGACGGTGTGAGAGGGAACTGTTCCTGAAGACGAAATATAAAAATACTATATAAAAATAAATGACACATAATATCCACCGCTCTCCTCATTATTTCTACCGCGTAGCGTTCGTAAGTTCTGGTCTGTAGAAGGATAGGAGAGAGTGCGGTATCTTATGGTTGACGGAAAATGTTTATCGTTATACTAATTTTATAACTCGCGAATCCCCATTTTAAAAGCAGGGGTAGATAGTACTCCGCGATCATACGGGGTCATTCACCCCGCTCTTCTCTTGTTTACGGTTCGAGTCGCACGAAAAACTTTTGTTTTATGTATAGTAATTTTTCGTCGCATTAGTAACTTAATAGTGTCAGGATTCACCGGCAGTACAATTTACTGTTGTTTTCGGAAGCAATTTCCTTAAGCTCTGTGTTATATACGCGAGAACAAAATGGAATATTCTCAATTTATGCATAAATGTGATAAATAACGGAAAAATGTAAGTTTTTTTTGTATTTTGCTTGTTTAAAAATATAATAAGTTAACAAGCATACGAAATCATTTGATGAAAATTATACATAATATGTTAAATAAATATATATATTTTAGTCGTGTAATATAAAATTAAATACTTATGAAAAGTCGAAAGTTGCTTCCAAGAAAGAAAGAAAACATGTATTCATATATTACGTAGTAAACATTTATAACTGCTTAAGTTATAATTACCGTGTAGGCAGTCGGACACAACGAAACTTTGAGTTTGATCTCAATATTTTATTCCGACCTATTGACTGGTCTCTAAAGGCCTATTGCAACTACGCCTGGAGGGGATCACAATTAATTTTACTAAAATCTACCAATTTTGTTGACAAACATACCACTCTGTGTATGTGTTCAAGTTCACTGTATTTTACCACCCTTCCCCACTAAAGTATAAAATAAAAAAAAATTGAGCACTTCCACACACACACATATATGTTTCGGTACCTTTCTCGTGTAATTAACATTAAAAAGTCCTTATTTTCTGTATTAAATGTTCACTTTGTCAAGTTTAATTAATCTATTCTAAATTGTATATCCAATTAAAATAAGAATCAAAATCGGCTGCCTACACCGAACGATGTACGATGTTTTAAAATATTATAATCGTAATGTTACGCAAGTTAGTTCAGAATGTATGTACGTAAAATACGGTCGACGGTCCGCCTCTTGAGATTGATTTAAATTATGTAAAAAAAACATATATTTTTATATTTAACACTCGAAGTTTTTTAAATATTTTTTAATATGATTTTTTGTTGTAACACTTGCAACTAATACGTGTGTGATCTTCTTTATTCCTATATATAATCTATAATTTCTTTAGTAGTACAGTGCCTACGTGTATGTTGAGAGCTTAGTTTTTACCTTCGCAGAAAATAATGTTTGCCTCATTTACTGAGGGATGCTGGGGTTTTTTTTCTGGCATGCCAAAATATAATCCTATTTAATACACAATGATGTGTGTTTGATCTCGAAAAACATAAAAAATAAATGAGATTTTTCAGATAACACGAGTAAGCTAGTGAGCGGTGACGATTGCTTGCTAACGTTTCTTTTTTATCAATACAAGGCTATGAGTGCATTATCTATAATCCACTAATGAAGTATTTTTTTATTTTTTTTTATTGCTTAGATGGATGGACGAGCTCACAGCCCACCTGGTGTTAAGTGGTTACTGGAGCCCATAGACATCTACAACGTAAATGCGCCACCCACCTCGAGATATAAGTTCTAAGGTCTCAGTATAGTTACGTATAAATATTTTGTGCACCAACCAATCCCTGTTGTTTCATCAAGTGCTCAACATATGCACGGCGTATTGTGCACATTTAAGCATTGTAATAATATAAGTTGTTTGTAAAATGTAGATTGCTGTAGTACATAAATTTTCTAATAAATACCATTGTGCTTTATATAAATCAGAACATATTATGTAACGAATTCACAGTTATTCTGTAAGAGTAACGATAAAATAAATCAATAAATATATTACATACTTAGTTTTAATAATGATCCAATTATGGCTGTTACATTATCATTCGGTGTACAACTATGAATCTTACAGAGCAGCTGTGAGAGTTCTTTAACTAGTTTCGCCTACACATAGCCTCAAATATACATATGGTTTCTTTGTTGAAATCATCGTGATAAAAAATACTTTTGAACCGTACTGTATGACTGTGTAGTAATTGAGAATTCGAATACAATAAACAACATATTAGTATGTAGTAAACACAAGTTTAAATATTACATCTCAGTGTAATAGTACATTGTGCACCAAGGGAGAAAAGTATGACATTTCCTGATGAGATGTCCTACTTTTTTCCCGCGGTGCACATACTATTTTTTCTCCTACCAGGCCGAAAGTTCGACACTGTAAAAATATTAAACACAATATTACAAATTACCCGAGCACAACAATGGCGGAGTATTTTAGGTGCGTGAGAGCAGACGTAGACACTAACGCGCATGCGCACTTGTCAGTACCCATGGAGGAAAAGTTAGACTTTCTTCCCTGTACAGCGGGACTAAATCCGAACTTTCGGCGTAGGTAGGAGAAAAAAATTGTTTTAATATTTTATCATGTTTTTTTTTTCTTTCCTTCTTTATTAGACAAAAATATAATGGTAGAGTCATCAATAAAATAAAAATGCGAATTAAACGAATAGGCGACCCGGCGGGGCGAGTGCTGGCGGTGCGATGAACCAACTCCCGCCGCAAATGAGGAACCAGATCAACCAGGCCGTCGGGCAGGCCGTCACCAACGCGGCCATCAACGAGCTCAGCTCCGCCTTCGCGAGATTCAAGTAAACTTTAATCAGAAAACCACCTATTAACTTGTGTCCGCTTAAAATGTATCTGTATGATTTGTAATTCGACTCGCAAAAGCGTTGTCTATGGAACAGTTGATATACCTTCGTTCTTCGTTTGCAAACGCAAACCTCCACAATTCCTAAAGAAAATTAAACGTGATTCACGCATTTTTTGTGATAAACTCCTATAAACATTTACGCTTTTGTTTTAAATAAATCAATAAGTCTCATTGACTTTAAATGAGGGGGAAGTTCCGGAACAATTTTCGTTTGAAAAAAAAAAACGCAGTATGTAACTTTTTTTTATATGTTACATTTACATAGGCTACATTTACAACCATAATACTATTTTAAACAATTAAACGCATAAAAGATATGTCGTCTATTGAATTTAAAGACCAAGTATAATAGACAATAAAGTTCAAATTGCCTTTCATACGGTTAGTATATTTATGGTTTTCAATAAAGTTAAAAAATCTGTCAAATCATACAGATTACACTTTGTAACATGACTCGTCTTGCTGGAGTGAGCGTTGGCTATTATTTTGTAACACAAAATTTTATGTTTGTCCGCTGTACGCAACGCACTTGTAACCCTTCAGTGTTGCCACTTAATAAATCAGTGTTACCTATTTGATGAATGTAAATTTTTTTGTGTGTCTAATTAAGTACTAAAATTATTTAATGACAAACTTAACGCGGTTACGATATGTAAAAGCTACATTTCTGTTTAGTATTAAATAATGCATTACCCCAAATATATGATACGATGAAAAGAAATCGATGTTATCCTGCGTATTTATATTATTATTTAACTTAAGAGTGTTTTCACGAGTTTGGTATTAATGTAAACGAATGGCGCTATTTCTGTTTCAAGTTCCTAATGAATTTCCAACTATTAGTGAACTAACTGAACCTCCATGCGTAAACTACGAATATTTATAAAGCGTTTATATTAAAATGAGTTAGTATTTAATTTAATTTGCTCGATACATGGTTAAATACACGTTTAACTGTTTTGATAACTCAGGAAAAGTCCAAATTAAGTAAATTGTGTTGTCAAATTAAAAAAAGAAGATCACACATACACATTTAATGTATTTATATATATTTTTTTTATATTTACATTCCATGTTTACTTAATAGGTGCGGAGTTTTTTTTTTTTCCCCTAATTTCTATAGACTATCTGTTAGTTTTTTTTTTATGGAAGATATGGAGGCGAAATGGTGATAAATTAGAAAATGAATTATGAAATATACAGTATTAACAGCGAATGATAAATTAGAGTGCTTTACTGCTGTGTATATTGGATTAAACGTAGGTACATAATAGTCTTATAGCGCTGTTTAAAAATTTACTGTCTACCGTTATATCACATGAAATAAATAGTTGATAAATGTGTTTAACATAATTATTGTAAATGTTATTATATTGGGTGGCTTGAAACGGTGATATATAATCGAATGCAGCAGGTCAGTTGTGTCGCAGGATTCTTGCAGCCGGGTGATGTGTTTACAATAAATAATAACCAAAAAAAAAAACGCATATCATTTTGTTTTTCTAAATGCTAGTTTCGTACGATTAAGGACAGTTATAGTACGTGTATCCGTTGATGTTGCACCCGACAGTTGTCGCGTAGACCTAGCTCTGTAGTTACTTGAAACTATTCCTATTAAATATTCACTTCAATGTTTAGCTGTTCCCGTAGTTTAGAACGATGATACGTCTCTTGAATTCTCGTCTCGCGTTTATCGACGGGAGCGTGTGTATATAGGCGCGTTTACCGGTTATTGTAACTAGACTCTGACGTCATATGTGTGTAAAACGTTCAATGATGCGAATTTCGTACTTTAAACATGTACGAACATTTCGGATCTAATATTCTCGTTTATAATTGAGATTGTTTTTTTCAAAGTAAACTATATTATGAATGTTGAATGTTCACAGTACTTTGCTTGAATATTTGTCATAATATTTCCAGTACCTATTACCAAGCAAACACTTTATTCTCTTATAGGATTGTTGATGTTGACGAAAAGGTCAATTATTAGAGATGTTTTATTGAGTAAAAATACAACTTTGATTGACGTCAAAAACATAAAAGCATCACTTAAAAGCTTATGAGTAATTAATAAAAAACATTGTTGTTCCAATTTAAATCGATATATTGAAAATGTATTATAGATTTGAAATTGAAAGTATTATAGAAAAAAATCTATGAAATGCTTTCGCAACGATGCCCACTGAGTTACCCAACTATGAAGCATAGTCTAAAATTGTAATAGAATAAATTTGGAGTTCCTACACTTACAATATGACACTGTAGTCTGTCTCTTGCTCTATTAGCATTACTTCTGAAGTTAAATCTAATCGTCTAACGTTTTGCTCTCTTATAAATAAAATAGAAAGTTGGTACCATCGAAAAAATAAAACATAGACAGTGATTGTTGGATTTGATATAGTTTATGAACATTGTTAATCTTATGCTGTATAAATTAGAGTAATTAAATGCTATATATGTGTAATAAAGGAGTTTGATTTATTCCAGTAGTTGAGTTGATAAATGTATTTGAAAAGTGGCTGGCTACATTAGCCATTAGTTTGTGGAAAATGAGAATGGAAATTTAGGTAAGACGTGTTTTGTATTTAAATTGAATATTTCAATAAGAGTTAAATACATAGTAAGTTTTATTTTAAATATATTTTAAGTCTTATTTTAATTTGATTTAAAACGAGTCTTGAGTAAATGCAATTGTTTTTGGTTTTTAGATTGACTGTTAATTTTGATACTAGTCAAGTCAATGATTAGAGTAATTTAAACTTTATAGTGTTCGTGATTAGTTTGAATATTGACGTTAATCGTGTTCGGTTTGCGAAAGTTTAAAATTTCAATTGTATCGATTGATATCGAATGCGGTTAGCGTTTCCGCTTTTAGAAACGCATTTAGAAAGTTGCTGAAAGCGTAGATCCTATCGTTAATGAAGTGCGTAATGGTCACAGAATGTTCTTATTGAGATATTTGATTGTAGGAAGTAAGATTTGCTTTCTATACGATTATTTAAGTGAGATGCATGTGTTTGGAATCATTAGCTTTCATAAATATTACGGACAATTCGAATGTATCGCGGACTGTTGTCAAGATTGATTATTCGGCATGTAGATTGCTGCCATACCTACTAGTATCGATTGCGCATGGAATGGAATATAATGTTATATTATAATTAGTTTATTAGTTAAAACGATAAAGACCTGTTTCACTCTCAATAATGCCATCCCGAAGCTTCTATTTTCTTTTGTCGACGACTGCGAATGCGTGAGACAGGTCAACAACATTGCATGCAGCAACACTTCATCGCTATCTTAGCACGTAATTAGGCTGTTCAACATGCTTAAAGAAAGAAGGCTTCATTTTTGTACTGTAAGATCTTGTACTGTATGCTGACAATTATTCACAGTGGCGTAGCGTGGTAGGGGTGGGGGGCAGCCCGCCCCGGGCGGCACTTTTTAGGGGGCGGCAAAACTTCACAATAAATAATAAAAATATTTGAACCATTTCATATTTTTATCGAAACTACAAATTTAGACCGATTGAACTGGCAATACAGTCTGTGTGTGTGCAAACTTTTTTATTTAAAATCTTACCTGTAGATATAATGCAAAACAATGATGACTGCTCTTGCAAAAATAATAATCTAGAACTAATGTATACTATACATCAAAGTGAAATACCTAAATAAAAGGTCGGCAAAATTGTTTTCCGCCCCGGCCGGCTGACACCCACGCTACGCCATTGATTATTCATTATGTAAATACTTTCAAATTGTTAAACATCGTATAAAACAATTTACAGAGCGAGTATGTTCACGTGTGAAAAATAATTATTTTCGTTTTGTTGTTCATAGTCGCCCGATGCCGAATATGCCGCCGAAACTGCCCGAACGACCGCAGAACGGTCGGCCATTTTGAACGCGCTCCGCCTTCGCCGCCATCTTGTGATTAGCTTTTATCATGTAAATATATTTTTTATCTTGTATATTGTTGTGTTCAATGCGTAAAACGTTTAGTGGATTACTTGGTGGATGGTATTCAAATTTAGCATTTTACTATGCAAGTGGGGCCCATTCGCGTACTTCACGATTTTATCGTCGATGGTTCTGTTATTAGGCACAATGTTGAAAACACGTAATGTGGACTTTAATAATTAAACTTAATGAAATAATGTAATCTAATTGCAGCTTTAATTTATTAAAATTGTACTTTGGATCGAAGTTGCTTTAAAAAGTGTATAGATATTTGTATTGTATTTCAAATCTTTAAAAAGCGTTTTAGTATCATGTCGTAACGTATATAGATCGACCGATTAACTAATGACAATATTTGTTAAGTTAACGAAAAAAAATGTATGTTTTATAAAAACTTTGATTTTTTTTTAAATGGTTTTAGAATCAACGTTTGATAGTTTGGTTCTTATGAAGAATTGTTAACGGAAAATTTACGTTGCAAAAATACCGTAACAAATGGGAGTTTAGTGCTAGTCGTGAATAATAATAAATAATAAAAAATCGCATTTCATCGAAATTATGTCTCAAATGCTGTGGTTGTAAAACGTAATGACCAAATTACCTATCACTAAATACGGAACTATTTTACAATCTCTAGTAACTTAGCATTGAGCTTACTAGGAAATTAATTACTAATAAAACCTTAGAGGTTCAGGGTATAGCTTTATTTAATAATCAAAATTAGTCTGAAATATAATAATTGCACCTGCTGTATTCAATAGTTTACGCTGTCGCTTTACAGAAGTAAAAATGTGGAAATGTATAATAGTATTAACAAATTCATATTTATTATACGAAATAGTACTCTGCAAACCAGTTATCGATGTAATTATTTTCCTACAATTGATATAGTGTCTAAACCTCGTCAAAATTATATTAAGTTCAGTACAAAAAATAAATATATAAACGAAACTGACCTTATACCTCCTTTGCTCTGTTATGTATTGTTAAGTAATCTACAACCCAAGTCAATAGAGCCTATAATGTTTATTATAAATAAATATTGTAGATCTAATAAATACATCACAAGTTTCACAATGAAAAGAGAAAAATGAGTTTTAATACGACTTTTTAAATTTAATTAAAACTAGACGATGACCTGATGATTTTTTTGATAAAGCCATCTTGTCTTTAAAGCGGTTAGTTGCCCTCAATTAAGAAAAATAGTATTATTATTCGCCAATAGATGTCGGGAAGAGTTGATTATTGAAAATACGAATAAAACAACATTTTCTGAAAATAAATCCTAGCCGTTTCCGAGATTCAGATTGTATATATATTAATATACAAGAATTGCTCGTTTAAAGGTATAAGATAATACTGTGTAAGGGGATATTCCTTGAAAATGAATGTATGCAGGTAGGTAGCTTTAGTACTGGTGATTTGTGACACGATAACAATGAAGAAGATTTGGACCGCATGAGATGCAACAGAAAAAGTGTTGACGTGAACAGGCAGACGTTCTTCGTTCGGATTGCGGATCAAAAATACACATTATCATCATACCCATTGGTTTTAAAAATACATTACCATATATAACCAATTGATTTAAAAAAAAAAAAAAAGTATTCAAGCCCTGTTTGCCGATTTTGTTTATTAGTTGTAATATAATTGAAATCCATAATTAAAACTTTATAAATTATAGTTACTTCTAATGTAATATTGGTATCGTTATGTAACTGTTATTAAAACGAAACAAAGAGGATGAGATGGCATCATAAAAAAAATCACAACTAGAAACTGATCCGTAAATACCTTAGAGATTTTAGCAAAATATATATTTTGCTTTCGATGTTATTTCTTTATTATCGTTTTTCGCCTTCCCTTACACCTCGTGTAGAATGAGAGATTATATTGTAAAGTGAAAAAGTTATTTGAAGGCATTTACCATACCGCCTGACGCGCGAAACATTTAGTAACTTAGTTATTTTGTAATTGTTTTATTTATGCTGTTGTCTTTAATAAAACTAAAGTTATTAACAAATATAACACAATCACCATAAGTCTATGATATAAGTATCTCGTCACTATTTTTATTAAGGTGACATTTATTTAGTTTATTTTGTTTTGTTTTATCGATGGAGGAAACTGGTTTTAAGAAACATGCGTCAGCTAAGATACATAAGTTTATATTTTTTCATTAGCGGGAAATGGACGGGTTGTATGAATCATTTAAGTTGAACACCTACGTCAGAAATGTTGTGTTGTCATTCGAAAAAAATATCGAAGAGTAATAAATAAAATATTGGAAGGAGACAGATATATTATTAGCGTTTTACATTTCAGTATTAGAAAAGAAATTGTTGAAAAAACTTTTTTGAGTTTATTAAACAACAAAAAGTAATTATTTTAGTTCATTCTATGTGTAATTTTGTTTACAATAATTGTCGTCATATTTAAATAACTCAATTTAAAAACTATTATTCGATATAAGCCCTTTTGTTGATGATCGTTTTTATTGAGTTCTGAATTTTTTCTAACATTCCCTTGCCTTCGTCTTTGCGCGTCAGAAATCTGTATATAAATGTATAAAATATTATCTAATAGACCTGTTTATATACTTATATGCAACTGTATTAAATGTGTAAATAAAATATAATTTGTGGTTTCATTTAATAATAGCTTACGGTTTTAATTCAGCGACGTTTTTATAATTTTGGAAGAACGCCGTGGTATTCATTGAATGTGGAAGCTGAACTTTATTGATGCTTATACGAATTTTTATGTTTTAATCCGACTTGGCAATGTAGTTTTCATTCCATTAAACTGACAGGTAACACGACGTGATATCTGCCATGTACTTACTGTCAATTTGTCAATGTTTTGTATTTATGATCACTTTGTTGGTGCAACTAAATAAACTAGAGGTCCCGCAGTAGTCGAAATTCGACTATAATTAATTGGATGTAAGTTTGTACACTATTATGATTGTATTTTATACTTCTATAATCACAAATTTCGCCAAGACTACACTATAAAAAATATTAACAAAGACAAACAATATCTAATCTATTCTCAATTTGACAACAGACGTCAAGAACAAAAGTTTGACAATAAATAGTATGCGTGCATGTGTGCGTCAAATACATGGTATGTAGTGTGTGTAATGTTTTCTTTATTGATTTAATGTATCTTTTATGCATTATTTAAAAAAAAAATTAGTATTGTGCACTTCTTCTATAAATTCTTTATAAGTGTGGAAAATTTCATACTCCTCCGTCCACGCAATTTTCATAAAAAGGGATACAAAGTTTTTGCTTCACGTATTAATATATAGATAAAAAAATAAAGATTTTATAATTATTGTCAATTTCTGGTATAGGCCTGTGTTTAAAAAAATAAAGTAGCTTATACCCAATGTGTCTACAATTAGGTAAGAAGTGAAATTATTACGGCTTTTAATTATTGTGGTATGACCTAGGAACAGAACAAAATAAACCGTGTAATTTCTATTTCATCGACATTCAACCTCACATGTGTTTGAAAGAAACAAGACAATATAAGCTAGAATTAGTTATATCTACATACAGAGTTTTTAATAATGAGGCATATAATTTGTCAAGGTTATTAAAACATCTCGAACGGATATTATTATATCATATTGAATGAATTTGTAGGCAGCGGCTTGGCTCTGCCCCTGGCATTGCTGAAGTCCATGGGCTACGGTAACTACTCACCATCAGGTGGGCCGTATGCTCGTCTGCCTACAAGGGTAATAAAAAAAAAGAATCCAATTTTCGTTGTTGTTGAAAACTGAAAACTGTTTTTTTTAGTAGAACCATAGCTTAGTAAAAGAACTCTAATATGTATTCTTATCGCTTTCAGGCCTTCGCCTGTTAATTGTTGAATCGCATGATGGGGCTTGCCTTTAACTACGTGAAAACGTTTCCGAAAACAAGCTAGTTTTTCTTTATAAATTAGCTAACTTTTTTAGATAAGATCGCTTTTGATGGAAGTTGATTGAAGCACTAATGTGATTCTGATAAGAATCAAAAGAAAATTTCGCACGTTGACGTTTTATTTTGGTACCTTCTTGACCTCAAAGTAAATGGGACGTGTGCGAGTCGAATCATTAGTTGCATTAGCCGCAGCAACGCCCAACGCGCACCGCAAGACAAAAACACAGACCATTATTACAATTTAATGAAGAGAGAAAACCATTAGGAACGGGGACTTGATTAAATCGTCGGTGAGCAATTGTCGAGTAGCGGCTCCCTCTGTGCTGGCGGGGGCCTAATCGCACCGACACGATTCTGATTACGTGTGATTGTTGTATCAATCATTTCCCCTATCAAATTATTCAGTGGCCGGTAATGCTATCGGCGTCGCCTCTAATGGTCTCGAGGACGAGCGGAAACTTTCGGCTGCACTTAGTTTCGGTTTGTTACTCGATGCCTCGATGTAATTCATATGCCATTATGTAGGTAGGTATGTGAGTTTACTAATTGGTAAAAATTATGTCTGTATGTTTTGTGAATGGTGTACTACGCAAAAAAGTAATCTTTTATTTTTATTTTTTTATTAGATGGGTGGACGAGCTCACAGCCCACCTGGTGTTAAGTGGTTACTGGAGCCCATAGACATCTACAACGTAAATGCGCCACCCACCTTGAGATATAAGTTGTAAGGTCTTAGTATAGTTATCTGTAATCTGCTGATATGCGAACATTTGACATTTGAAATTTTGAAAAGTAAATTACTTAACTATATATAATTTTTCATTAACGTACAAAATGTTAAAAACATTAATGCGGTTTCTTATTCAATAACACAAGGCACTATGCTGTACCCGTCTTTACAAATAAGCGCTTGAATTACTTAACACTGACGAATTGTGTAACAGCTGAGTGTTGACAGATTTATGCCAAAGTTTTAAGCAATAATTATCCGAAGTTATAAAGCTGTCCATAAATTAAATAGGCAAGAGCGGATTAACGTAGGCGTTTAGTTGGCACCTCTGTGTTTAGAATGTAAATCATTACAGCATATTTCCTTTATCGCAGTTAGCGTGTAACCAGTCGATTAACTATGCAAATCCGATGACAGACACGACCGCTAAATGGTACCTACATACTCTGAATGGATCTATCTCGGCTATCTATAAGTAGCTAATTAACTAATAGAAGAAAAAAAAACGAATTCTTATTCTAATTACAGAGATAAGACCGTTCATTCTAGACTACTACTAAAAATTTTACTTAAAAATTATGAATCAAAATTCTATCATAAATTATTTCTTTGTTAATTAGACGAGACTAGCATTTTTTACTACTTAAAAAAGCTTTACGCGTGTAGACTGAGGAATAAGCGTAACAATTCGTAGAAAACGCAGCTACTCCCTAATTAGAAACTACACAACTTGTCCCGAAATCTGTTCATGTACGTATTACGTAATTAAACAGTTGTCTAATTTAATTGGCAATAGGCGAGTTCCCACAAGTCAGAAAGTCACCCTCGCTCGTTATATTTTGAACCAAATTTTCCCAACAATTAACATGCGAGGTCCGTATGTGGTAATTACAGGTGTGGAGCACGCAGTAAACGACTTTAAAAAGCACGCACTAACAGATTGTTGTGTTTGTTTTATGTTTGCGATTTATTTACAGATTGTCCGAAATCTTCAAGCCCTGTTCTCTGCTATGTGCAGTCAAATGCTACAATCACATTCACACCATTAATTTTGTAATTAGTATCATATCTATATATTAATACGTAAAGCAAAAACTTTGTATCCCTTTTTACGAAAATTGCGCGGACGGAGGGGTATGAAATTTTCCAGACTTATAGAGAATATAGAGAAGAAATGCACAATACTAATATTTTTTTAAAATAATGCATAAAAGATATATTAAATCAATAAAGAAATAATTACACACACTACATACCATGTATTTGACGCACACATGCATGCATACTATTTATTGTCATACTTTTGTTCTTGACGTCTGTTGTCAAATTGAGATTAAATATTGTTTGTCTTTGTTAATATTTTTTTATAGTGTAGCCTTGGCGAAATTTGTGATTATAGAAGTATAAAAGACAATCATAATAGTGTACAAACTTACAATTCCAATTAATTATAGTCGAATTTCGACTACTGCGGGACCTCTAGGATTATGAAATTTCGTAAATCAATAGCAATTTTTGATAAATTTTTTATTGCGAAGTTTGGTGGATGAGCTCATAGCCCATCTGGTGTTAAGTGGTTAAGTTAAATGTAAACATAACAAATTTTGTTTGGTACAAGTTTCATTTCAAATTGCATTTGAAGTAGTATAGAAGACAGTACTTTATGGTAATGACAACAAATATTTAAAATATCTAATTGTAATACGAAAATATATTGGGCAGTAGCAATAAAAGCATATTAATTACAATTACATAGTATGTATGTATTGTATTTGTAATGTATTTCAGAACTTCAAAATTTTGATATCGAATACATCACAAAAATATTTTACGGTAATTAAATCTAAATCACTCTGGTGGGTACTTATTTACCTTCTATGTGTAATTGAAAAACTTCACAAGCGATATGACGGTCAACAATCCAAAATTATACGTTTCTTTCATTTTACTTCGGCGATCAGATTTCTATCGGCTTTGTTTAGCTGCTATTACGTTTGAACTTTTAATAATGATTTGATGTACCTGTTCCGTGTGGACTTAATGAAAGAAAGTGTAATTTAAAAACTTATAAACCAGCCATAATTTGTGTTTGATAGCTTGACCGACAATGAATCGAATAATAATTGGAGTTTGACTTATACGCGTTCTTATGTTATATTTACTTCGCAAAACTTCGATTTTAGACGTCGGTAGCGTTTTGTAAGGTGGCCGTTTTATTTGTATCCAGTGACGCGATGCGACTGTGACAAATGTGGTACAAATTTTCTAAATATTGCGTGTGTATCAATGAGTTCCATGGCAAAGGAGTAACACCCTGAAATATAAAATCAAACCTGCAAATTTTAATAAAGCGTTAGGATCGCACGGAATTTAAATCGTTTCCATGTTCTGATGACGAATGCCTATGTTTATAACAGAGTCTCGATTCGGAGTCAAAATCTCTGTTTCAAACTATCACATTATTATTTAATATTCGGAGTATTGTGTCTTTGATCTCCGCTATCATAATACAGAAGATTAAACTAGATTGTGGCGGTTGATTATAGAACGATTATTAATATTGACAAGAGGTAAAATTATAGAGACCAATGAAATAAACAGGCAACGGTGCTCGAGTTCGCAAATGGCGTTTTAACTTTTTGTAAAGTGCAACACTTTCCCAGCCCTTCGTGCAAGTGCCCTTCAAAATGCTACTGCGTTTAGACAAATGAACAGCGTTGCACCCTTCATGGCACACGCCACTGCTTGTTTGTACATCGATATATAGAATTATGATGCGACAAAATTAGGTAAAGTTTTGACATTGTCGTACTTTGGCTCACGGACCAGCGTTAAACATGTTAAACAGTTACTGGAGTTCATATAGGTACGTCACCAAGGGAATAGGTTAAGACGTAAGAAGTTTTAATTATATTGATCTAATGGGCTTTCATTCTCCCGAACTGGAAAGTATGATTTCTTGTTGAAAAAAGAAAGACAGGATCGTAGTGCCTACAGCATGTGGAAATGCAACTTTAGGAATAGGTTCGAGGTCCCACAGTCTCTTACTCTTCATGGTGACTCTTTAAAGTTTTACCTTTTGATTGATAGTTGGCCAGACAATTTTTTATAAAATTAAAAGATCTTCGGTAAGCTTTAAAACTAACTTTACGGTTTTTTTTTTGGTTTTTTTATTGCTTAGATGTGTGGACGAGCTCACAGCCCACCTGGTGTTAAGTGGTTACTGGAGCCCATAGACATCTACAATATAAATGCGCCACCCACCTTGAGATATAAGTTCTAAGGTCTTAGGTACAGTTACAACGGCTGCCCCACCCTTCAAACCGAAACGCATTACTGCTTCACGGCAGAAATAGGCAGGGTGGTGGTACCTACCCGTGCGGATTCACAACAGGTCCTACCACCATTAAATCTATTTTAGAAGCCCGTCAAGGCTTTAAATATTTTACTTTTATCGTCGGATGGTAAGACTTATTGTGAGCTTGTATGAACAGGTATCATTCAATCTATTCCTTCTGAGAAGCCATCATTGCAACTGGAAAACTGGGTTAGCCGTTTGCAAAATTAAGGTGGCGATCGTTATTGAATATTATTCTCCTAGTTATTATTATTTAACCATTACTCCAGATATTATACTGGCCCTCTTTGTGAGTCCGCACAGGTAGGTATCACCCTGCCTATTTCTGCCGTGAAGCATTAATGCGTTTCGGTTTGAAGAGTGGACCAGCCGTCATACTGTTAAAACTGAAACGTTAAAACCCATTCTTAGGGTGGGTGGAGGCATTTACGTTTTAGATGTCTATGGGCTCCGGTTACCACTTAACACCAGGTGTGCCCGGTGGTGAGCTCATCCACACATCTAAGCTATAGGTATTCAAGCAAACAATAAAAGTCTTTGGGTATTCCAGTATAGTTTTAATAGTTCTATGTTGTAAAATACAATTCTTGCCACAAAATGGCGGAACTAGTGTAGGACACAATAAATCAATTGGAGTGGGTGGTTGACTTTTCACTCAAATGTGTGGTTAATTGTAACCGAAAATGACTGTTGATCGAGCCGCACTTAATTTGAGTGGTGCTTTAGTGTAAGGGCTGCGTACTGCCGATGGGGTGGAAAGTAACTAATGGCTCGGCTGCTTTCGTAATTACTCTCATATTTGTCCTTATACGAGTAGTATCGATACGTAATAAGTGATTTCGGTTGACTCATATTTTTCTTTATTACGGATTCGAAACGTAATAAAAGTATTTGCTTGTTAATATTACAATACAGGTTAGAAAAATGCAATCGTTTGAAATATTCGCGATTTTACTTAAAACGAGCCTAAGATCCAACATGCCTTCGACTTTTTTTATCAGTCCTTCCTTTTTTCTTGTTTATTTGGATAAGCCGGATCTCTAAAATATGTGAATTCAAAGAGAGACTACCACATTGAGATATGCGCTACCAGTAAAGGAACAAGACTTAAGTTACTCTAGCCTCTAAGCCGCAATGAATTATTATTTCAGTAGAAATAGAAGAACGACCCTGATACCTTTTATTATACTCGTTGTAATTACTTATTATAAATAGAATAATTATATTTATAGATTTACTTAATGTAATAGATTAATTAATGTTATAGTGCTTAATTGCTAAACTACAACTATTGAAATTAATTGCATAATTATAAAAAGGAGGGTAGTTCTGTTGTTTGTTTGAACGCGCTAATCTCGGGAACTACTGGTCCGATTTGAAAAATTCTTTCAGTGTTACATAGCTCAGTTATTGAGGAAGGCTATAGGCTATATAGCATCACGGCAAGGCCAAGGCCAAAGCACGTCATTACGGATCCTCCTGATCCATTAACGGTGCTTTTAGGCACCACAAGCACCGGTCACCGTCCTCGTCGAACCCGTCGCTTGCGACGAAGGGTTCGACGAGCGAATTAACCCATAGACACAGCCCACTGAGTTTCTCGCCGGATCTTCTCAGTGGGTCGCGTTTCTGATCCGGTGGTAGATTCTGCGAAGCACTGACCTTGCTAGGGTAAGTGTTAGCAACACTCCGGTTTGAACACCGTGAGCTCACCTACTAGTTAAGGTTACGCTGGTATAGCCTCTCAAGGCTATCAGCTTAGGTAGGAAAAAAAGCAAGGCCAATACAAGTGGAGCACCAAAAAAGACTGTTTCAAAATAGGGGCTTAAAAAGCTCCTTAATATTATATAATTCAAAAATATTTTTACTTTCTACGTAAATGAAGTGGGGTAAAATTTAGCGTTATGCCAAAATAACTATTCCACGCGGACGGAGTCGCGGGCAAAAGCTAGTATATGTATAATATTTACGACCTTTATGACAAATCCTTTGGCCAATATTTGTAGGTGTTATTCAAGCGTTCTTCGATGTCTGTATCGTCAAACGGCTTCTTGGACAAAAAGAAAACATGACAGCCCATTAAACCAAGATACTCATTTTCAATGATCTTCAAACGTATTGCGATACTACGTAATGCGCCGAGTTCTAGTTTAGCTAAAACAGAATAAGAGAAAATGAATTAAACATTATTATTATTAGACTATAAACATTATTAGACTATATATTATTAGACAATATATTAAGCAATAATACATTACATCTATACATAGATATTATACATTATACATACATTTATACATTACATAGATCTCAATGTTGACAGTGACTTTTATTAATTACATTCAATTTAAAAGGCAAGAGAAAATATTTTTAATAAATAATAATAAATAGGCCTCGCGTGGAGTACTGCTCCCATCTCTGGGCCGGGGCTCCCAAATACCAGCTTCTTCCATTTAACTCCATACAGAAAAGGGCCATTCGGATTGTCAATAATCCCATCCTCACGGATCGTTTGGAACCTCTGGGTCTGCGGAGGGACTTCGGTTCCCTCTGCATTTTATACCGTATGTTCCATGGGGAGTACTCTGAGGAATTGTTTGAGATGATCCCCTCATCTCCTTTTTATCATCGCACCTCCCGCCATCAGAGCAGAGTTCATCCATACTACCTGGAGTCACTGCGGTCAACCACAGTGCGTTTCCAGAGGTCTTTTTTGCCACGTACCAACCGGCTATGGAATGAGCTCCTCTCCACGGCGTTTCCCGAGCGTTATGACATGTCCTCCTTCAAACGAGGCTTGTGGAGAGTATTAACCGGTAGGCAGCGGCTTGGCTCTGCCCCTGGCATTGCTGAAGTTCATGGGCGACGGTAACCACTCACCATCAGGTGGGCCGTATGCTCGTCTGCCTACAAGGGCAATAAAAAAATAATAATAATTTACTCATATCATTTCGAATGTGATTAAATTAGATTGATGCGATACAATACTTTTATCATCGTATTTCATGTGGAGGCTGTAGCTTCCGGGAAGCGGATGGACGTAAGAAAAAATAATAATCAAACATCAAAACTAACCAGACGGCAGAGGCACGTGTAGAGTCCTGTAAATACCGTGACCATCAAGTCTTTCCAGATAATGGTCTTCTGTAACATTGTGTCTCATACTCGTACTTTGACACGGTATTTGCATTCTCAATGTTAAGTTCTCCCATTTTAAATTGGCGGTGTAGTTTCCGATCTTTTTTTTAACTTCATTTCGTTCCTAAACGTAAATCAGTATTATACGAGATGTACATGGTCAAAAATCAATATACCTAGTCAGATCATAAATTCTGTCACATGTTTAATGTAAAATAATTGAAACAAGTTTATTCATTATGTAACCATTCATATACCAAAATGAACTTAACAAAACATAGATTCTTATGACACTAAAGTTTATTCAAAATGACCTCCGTGATTTTGAATACAGGCCTTCAATCTGCGCGGCCAGTCGTCTATCGCAGCACGAACGAGGTCCATGTCAATATCGGCGGCTGCCTTAATCAAGGATGTCTTGAGTGACTCCAAATTGGGATGAGGCTTTGAGCACGCCTTTTCCTCCAAGTGTTGCCATATCTTGTAATCTAACGGATTCAAATCTGGACTGGAGGAGGGCCAGTCTTCGTGCCGGATGAAGTCGATTTCACGCGCCGCCAGCCAGTCTTGTGTGCTCTTCGCTCTATGAGCTGGCGCCGAATCTTGTTGGAATACCCAGTGCCTGTTATTGAACATGGTATGAGAAACAGGTTCCACAAGGTTCGTCAGGACTGTATTTTGATACACAACTGCATTCGTTTTTACACCTTTCTCACAAAAATGTACCTCTGTTAAGCCCCAATAAGAAACTCCCAACCATACCATGAGCGAGGATGGAAAATGACCTCGTTGGACACGCGGAATACGGTTGCTCGCTTCTTCACTACTGTGTGCGTACACCTTATCATTTTGTTTGTTGTAGCTCTCTTCTACGGTAAAAATTTTTTCATCCGAAAAAAGAATTTCCCGATATTTTTTTCCCGCGTACCGCTTCAACAAAGCGCGGCATCTCTTCAGTCTCAGGTCCATTAGACGAGCATTCAAACGATGTCCTGTTTTTCTTCGATATGCCCGAAGCCCTAAGTCTTCATTTAACACCCTTTTCACCGTGGTTCTGCTTAACCCCATCTGAAGGGCCAACAGTTTCTGCTTACGTTTGGGATTTCTTTGAATTCGCGCCTTCACAGCTTTTATCACTGCTGGAGTCCTAACAGACCGAGGGCGACCATTTCTTGACCTGTCATCTACACTAGAGTCTTCATTGTATCGTTTGATGGTACGATAAACGAATCTTTTGGTTATATTCAAATTTTTCAGTATTTTAAAAATTTGAATTGGCGCGTAACCGCAACGATGCAACGCAATAACTGCAACACGGTCTTCTTTAAGCGTCCACTCCATATTTAAAAATGAGTAAAATTCTAAAAGTATTAAGTATTAAGCATTTTTATTTTCATGAACAATTCGAAATTCGAATTCAATAAACTTTTTTGTGGCCAGCATTCTAAAAGAAAAGTTTTTACTGTGTGACAATACTTATGACCTGACTAGTTATTTATTCATTACGATCTATTTCGAAGTAGCTGCTGATTAATACATTCATTATTAAATTATATAGTTTTTGTAATTTCAGTTTACTTGGATACCTAAGGGGCGTTAGCCGCTCTTTGGCTTATTTCAAGATTTAAAAACGTAGATACCTGTTCGTTAACCGAAGTTAACTGTGCACATTCGGAGTCCCTGAAGAAGTAAGGTTTGTCTGATTTGTGTCGTTGAGCGTGCCATGTACCTATGGCCTGGGCTTCGTCGAAGACATGGCCTTGAGGAGAATTTTCACAATTTTGTGTCTTAATGCGTACATCGTTGAGTTTCGGAGACGCGTGGATTACCCCCACTGTTAATAATACTACAACAATCAACGAAATCATTTTAAATATTTTGAAAATTTAAATAGTAAACATCCTAAATGTAACTTATTGTTATTTTTACTAATTTACTAACAACTACTTTAGAAAATTAACTTAACTGCCTTCCGTCAGCAAAAATTTTGACTGAAAAAAAACCTCAGTATTTGCCTTCATGTCTATCATGAAGAGATCATGGTCAGTTCAGGTCAAAAAGAATAAGGTGCTTATTCGATTCTAATACGTGCTTAATTTTTATTTAATTTCTACAGTAAATGACAAAGCATATTTAAGTTTCATAAACACAGTGTTAGTGTTGCGAATGTACATAAGTTTTTCTTACCGATTACAATACATCGACGCTGTGGCGACATGTTGACATCAGAACGCAACTGAATTCATAAACTTAAGAATAATAATCTATAGGGACGGCGCGAGGGACGAATACATAGAAGCAAAAAATTTGGATATGCCGAAATAAAAAAAAAAAACAGTTTACTTATCACCGCCGGAGACAATAATGAAGATATCTTAAAAATGACTCTCAATGTGAAATTTAAAAATCAAGTTGGATTATCCGTATTGTAGATTTGTTTTTTCTTTTAACTTTTTAACTCCCACTTTTTTATCATATTGTACAAATAGCCATAATGCTCTTAAGTGGTGATTACATTCACCCATTTTTTTTTTATTTTGTGTTATATGATATCCCTGTCAAGATAATCCTAGGATCTCAATTACTAACCTTAAGCCAGCTATGGAGTGTTGCACGCCCGTTCTGTATATTACTGTCGCAAGCTAATCAATCGTTTTGATGACGACGATAAAGACGAGCACAGCTCAGTGCAGCACAGTGTAATGCAATGCGGTATTTGTTACTTCAAATATTAAATATCAACAGTAAAGAAGTCGGAGAAATATTAGTCAATATCTTGTAAGATTTCTCTTTTAAGTCAAAATATCTAGGTAATGTTTGCTATCTCTTCTGTCTTTCTACCTCACCTCAATTAATGTATTCTTTCCATAACTTCTTTAAGCTATTCGCGAGTTACCTGTTGCACGCTCCTGGTGCTATGACAGAAAGGGTTTGGAGTGTTGGGCAGCCGTTATGGTTGAGACAATTGAGACTTATATACCTTTTGTCTTGAGATGTGAACTTTTTTTTTTCTCCTACTTATTCTGATAGCCTTGAGAGGCTATTTCAGCTTCGTTCTAATATGTAGGTGAGCTCACGGGGCTCAAACCAGGGTGTTGCTAAAACTGGCTCTAGCAAGAGCAGTGCTTCGTAGGATCTACCACCAGATCGGAAACGCGAGCCACTGAGAAGATCTGGCGAGAAACTCAGTGGGCTGTGTCTATTGGTTAATTCACTCGTCGGCTACTTCGTCGCAAGCGACGGGATCGACGGGGACGGTGACCGGTGCTTGTGGTACCTAAAAGCACTGTTAATGGGTAACCTGCGTATCTTTTTGTTCTTAAATTAAAAAAAATCCCGTTTTAAGGGTATGATGAAATAAGATAAAAGAGTTCCATTTTTTGTTTTAAGATGGACACTGGTAAGCTAAGCTTTCGTAACCACCCACACGTAGTTTGTGAGCTTTTTTTCCAGTTGAATTTATAAAAAAAGCTTGTTTTAAATTTATCGTACTTCATTGTATACTGCGTTGTTGTAGAGGACAATGTATGAAGTAAACGAAGTAAACTGGTGTTTCCGGAGGATGTTACTCTTTGAAGTCGTATGATAAATACCACTTTAACGAAAACGTTATCTGTTTAACCTTTGAAGTACACACAATTTAATGATCTAGTTTGAAGAGTTGGAAGTCGTGGTGGTCCAACGAATGTTATGCCCGGTTTTTTTTCTTTTTTCCCTACCTATTCGATGGTATTCTGAGGGGTTTATTCCTAGATTCATTAGCGAAGCAGCTGCTTTTGAGTTGTTAGAACTTCGTCGGAGGCGTTGTGGTTGCTGTTAGCTAATCCCACCTATTCTGGTGAAACTGGGAGGGCCTCCGGGCCACCAGTAATCCTTCGATCATAAAGATAAAAAAGGGCTATTTCAGCTACGCGCGGACGGGCTTGCTCAGTGTGCTTATATCACAGATGTCATTGTGCCTTTTTTGTTGAGTAGTATAGTATTTTAGTTCTAGTTTAGTATTTGTCTGTAGGCGGGTGCCAATTTTTTAAAATGAAAAAACGTTCTGAACACATGTTCACGAACGACTATTACGATATTCGCTCACGCGGCCCGTACTCGTAATAGGTCTCTCCAGGTCATCCAATCCTGTTTCTAATTCTAATTCCTTTCGATACGTAAATATTTTAAGGAAGCGTCACACCGTTACTTTGATAAAGCGGCGCGACACGATATCCCTCTAATCGTGGTCACCGCTAATTACGCAACCGACCCAGGCGACGGGGCAACACAAAGGCGCCGTCGCACTAAACATTTATTATCAGATCCCTTGGATCCGTTCTCGGTGCTTTTAGTCTCTTCAAAGTTCCGATCATCATCCCCGTCGAACTCGTCGAATACGACGAAAAGTTCGTCGAGCGAACTAACCCACAGATACAGCCCACTAAGTTTCTCGGCGGATCTTCTCAGGTGGTAAATTCAGCGAAGGACTGTTCTTACTTGGGATAGTGTTAGTGGGATTTTCTTAGGTTGAGCCCTTGAGCTCACCTACTAGTCCGAGCGTGGCTGGAATAGCCCTTTAGGCTACCAGCGATTAAGTAGAAAAAAAATACTTTTACGATGGATTAATAGCACCATGTAATAAAATCAAACTTTAAAAATTCATATAACTTTGTATACTGTAGGGTATACCTGTAGAGAAGTATTGTTAACGCAAAAGCGGTAGGTACTGCAACCATCTAGCCTATTTACATCTCAGAATCACGGGTTCTAATTTGTAGGGTGGGACAAATGTTATGAGCTTACTTGGGACTCTTCATATCGCATAGAGTGGAGATAATTTCGTTACGGTGTCAATTGTTTCAGGGAGCTGTCTTGTAATCCCCTAAGTCGCCTCTTTAGGTCCTTCTTGATTAATTGGTTAATAGGTCTTTAATGAAATTATAAAAAAAAAAACAACAATGTCGGTGCAAAAGAGACTACAAATGTGTCGCATTTATTGAAAATATATCAATACATATTACATTCTAAATCACTACAACACTAATGCTTAATAACAATAATTGTTTTTGTTTCTTATATGTCGTCTGGCCAATATATTTGCGTTATTTTGTTTAGGCGTTCGTCGACTTTTGTACCGTCAGATGGCTCTTTGCCTAAAAGGAACACGTGACAGTCCATTATACCAAGGTACTCATTCTCGATGATCTTCAAACGTATTGGGTAACGACGAAAGACGCCGAATTCCAGTTTAGCTAAAACAAAATAACAGGAAACGGATTAGGAGTTGCCAAAATCAACATATTCTATATTCGTAATAAAATAAACACAGATCATGTCAAGTGAATAAATAGGCTTGTGATAGAGACTGTTCATCCATTCACATCATCCATTACAATGAATCTAAAACCAAAGACATTGTTTTCAATGCGAGTTAATATTTTAATTGGTGATATTTAATACTTTTTATCGATCTGTCTTTTCATATGGAAGAAGGGTTTTACTGGTGGTAGGACCTCTTGTGAGTTCGCATGGGTAGGTAAGTAATGCAGTAATGCGTTTTGGCTGAAGAGTGGGGCGGCCGTTGTAACTATACTGAGACCTTAGAACTTACATCTCAAGGTGGGTGGCGCGTAAATGTTTATAAATTTTTAACGTTGTAAATGTCTATGGGCTCCAGTAACCACTTAACACCAGGTGGGCTGTGAGCTCGTGTGCCATCTAAGCAAAAAAAAAGCGGTCTTCAGGAAGTAGGTTTGAATGGATCACAGATAATCCCTTGTTGGGCTTGGTTAGATTTAGGAGTTTGATCCGCTGCTTGTTATTCACGCGTTCGAACCGTATACGGACAGAATTCGTATAGGGCAAGAGCGAAAAGATGCTGAGATTCCGTACTCACCGTAATCTTATTTTACCACCGCGTCCCAGAAGTTTTTTTTTATTTTTTATTTTTTTATTGCTAAGATGTTCGTCCACTCACAGCCCACCTGGTGTTAGTCCGGATTAGGGGTGGGCTTACCCAGGAGAAACGCATAATTTACATAGGAAATTGCAACGTGCGTTGTATTCCAATTATCCGGTCATATTTAAATTCGACCAGCATCAAGTAGTCCCAGTCGCAGGGACACACGATTATTGTTGTTTTTAATTTTACTAAGGCAGCCTATATTCATTATGACCCTTTGTCGCGAAAAGGAACAACTGAGGAAGTAAGAAAACTCTTTAGTCGAACATCAAAACTTACCAGTCGGCGGAGGCATGTTTAGAGTCCTGTAAAAACCGTCGCCCTCAAGACGCTCTAAATAATAGTCTTTGGTTACATTATGTTTGTCACTCGGACAAGGTATTTGCATTCTCAGAGTTAAGTTCTCCCATTTCATTTTGTCGACGTAATTCCCGATCATTTCTTTTAATTCGTTTCTTTCCTGAACAAAAATCGTTAATGAATAAATAGATCATTAAGTATGGTCAAAATTCAATACGTTTACTCATTATGTTACATTTCGAGGTAACATTCTATTTTCGCTTTTAGTAATTTCATTTTGGCACATACCTAGGACTTAATTTGGCTTAATGGAACATCTAACAACATACCTGTTCGTTGACCGAAGTTAATTGAACACATTCGGAGTCCCCGAATGCGTAAGTTTTCTTTGATTTGTGTTGTTGCGGGTGCCATGTGCCAATAACCTGGGCTTCGTTGAAGACGTGGCCTTGCGGAGAATTTTCACAGTTTTGCTGCTTGTCGTGTACATCGTTGACTTTCGGAGACGCGTTTATTACTCCCGCTGCCAATAATACTGCAATAGCAATTAGCATTAAATAAACTTAGTTTAAAAGGTAAGCCACACTGTACACGTTTTTTTCATTACTTTATTCGTTTATTCATTGGTTAGTAACTATAGAGGAGAGCTATAATTTATTAGATTTTTTTATTGCCCTTGTAGGCAGACTAGCACACGGCCCACCTGATGGTGAGTGGTTACCGTCGCCCATGGACTTCAGCAATGCCAGGGGCAGAACCAAGCCGCTGTCTACCGAAAACTACAGTAAAAAGATAAAAACTTGTACACCGAATTTAAAAATGTTTTGTTCGGTTTTTGATAGGCTTTATTTCTACTATAAAACAACTATAGCCAGTTGCGCCCTGAAAGAATAAACTGTCGATTTTCCAACAAAAAAACTTATTTTGAGTGAATCTTTTTTCTTTATTTCCACTACTATTAAAAAGAAATAAAACTATGTCAATTATTAATTTTAAGTTTCAAAAACACAGTGTTAGTGTTGTGAAATGCACATAAGTTTTTCTTACCGATTAGAATACATCGACGCTGTGGCGACATGTTGACATCAGAACGCAACTGAATTCATAAACTTAAGAATAATAAGCTGTGAGGACTGCGCGAGGGACGAATACATAGAAGCAAAAAATTTGGATATGCCGAAATAAAAAAATATCAGTCTACTTATCACCAGAGACAATAATGAAGATATCCTAAAAATGAACCACTATGTGAAATTTAAAAATCAAGTTGGAGTATCCGTTATTGTAGATTTGTTTTTGTTTTAACTTTTTAACTCCCACTTTTTAACATATTGTACAAATAGTTATAATGCTCTTAAGTGGTGACTGGATTAACCCATTTTTTATTTTAATTTTGCGTTATATGATATCCCAATCAAGATAAGCCTAGGATCTCAATTGCTCATCTTAAGTCTAGCCCAAATGGTGTTGCACGCCCGTTCTGTATATTCTGCCGCATGCAAATCAATCGTTATGCCGCATTTTTTTATTTCTGGATGGGCTTTACACTCACGATCCCTGTCTGATGTGATAGCCACTTAACATCCCGTGAGCTTTTCTTCTTTTCTGTGACTAAATCAAGACAGGATTATGCGATCTTTCTTCCTCATGTTAATGACTAAATAGCTAGCAACTACGATAATCGTTTAATACAAAGACAATGATGAGTTTATTTGTTCAGATTAAAAAAAGTTAGTTGTAAATTTATCGTAGTTCATTGTAGACGCTCTGCGTTGGCGCAAATAACAGCCGTGAAGTAAACGAAGTAAACAGGTGCTTCCTGAGGATGCTCCTCCGTGAATTGATATGGTAAATGCTAATTTAAGGAAAATTTAATCAAACTTATTAAGTACTGAGAATCGTATGAACCGGTTTGAGGGTAGTCGTTATATAAATGGAATTTTATTTAATCAAACTTATTAAGTACTGAGAATCGTATGAACCGGTTTGAGGGTAGTCGTTATATAAATGGAATTTTATTTAATCAAACTTATTAAGTACTGAGAATCGTATGAACCGGTTTGAGGGTAGTCGTTATATAAATGGAATTTTATTTAATCAAACTTATTAAGTACTGAGAATCGTATGAACCGGTTTGAGGGTAGTCGTTATATAAATGGAATTTTATTTAATCAAACTTATTAAGTACTGAGAATCGTATGAACCGGTTTGAGGGTAGTCGTTATATAAATGGAATTTTATTTAATCAAACTTATTAAGTACTGAGAATCGTATGAACTGACTTGAAGGGCAAGATAGTTGTTATATAATAGAATTTTGATTCTTATTTTATGTTGGAAAGCAGCAGGAAAAATTCATTGAATTAGGTACATTGTTCTCTCAGTTCATTGAATTACATTTTGAAGGATTTTTTGACTATGTGAATCTCTTTTAATAGTAACAATACGAAAGGAAATTATTATCATCTTATATAATGACAAATCATCAGGACATCTTGCGAGACATATGAACAAAAGATGGACATTAAGGACCAGTGGGCAAAAGAAGAAGAGGACGACCAAGGAGCATATGGATCGACGAAATAATAGCAGCAACTGGAAAAGAATGGAGAAACAAAGCCAAGTATAGGGAAGAGTGGAAGTAAGCTGGAGGAGGCCTGTATCCGAATGGGGTTCCAATAATAATTTGTCTACAGTTGGTAGGACCTCTTGTGAGTCCGCGCGGGTGGGTACCACTACCCTGCCTATTTCTGCCGTGAAGCAGTAATGCGTTTCGGTTTGAAGGGTGGGGGCAGCTGTTGTAACTATACTTGAGACTTTAGAACTTATATCTCAAGGTGGGTGGCGCATTTACGTTGTAGATGTCTATGGGCTCCAGTAACCACTTCACACGAGGTGGGCTGTGAGCTCGTCCACCCATCTAAGCAATAAAAAAAAACATAAGTTTATATTTAATTTTGAAAATATTTATTTAATAAGGTGTTTTTTTTTGTTTCTTTGTTTTTGGAAATAATATGGGCTTATTATTATTATATAATGACAAATTGGCTACTGATTTTATGGAGCAAACGGTGTTCAGTTACCGTTGGACCGCAGGGTTTTCAGTGCGTCCTGTGTGGTTAAATGCAAAAAGAACACGCGTCCTTTGTTCTTACCTTAGTTTTAAGTGTTTGCAAAATGCTTTTTATTTCATTTCTCTCGTCGTGCGAATGTAAGCTTCATCCTCAAAACGTGTAAGTGCATTTTAGCTTAAATTAAAGGATTATGCGTTCATTTCAGTGGTGAATGGGCGAGGGTTGTGGTTAACTGCGCACGCGCTCCGTGTATTGATAGCTTTCGACATTCATTCTTTGTAGTCGAGCATCAGCTGTCATTTTGTAAGAGCTATTATATAGAAGCATAGGTATAATTTAAATGAACTTATTGTTTAAAAATTTATTAACTCATAATGAAAAGAAAGACTGTGAGTCCGCATCCCATTCAGCTTTTTTTGGGTTGAAGGTATTGTAGAATTCGCCAGTACTCTTTCTGCCACGAAGCAGTCAATTTCGTTGAGATTAAATGGTCAGAACAGTCTTGCCACTTAATAATTGAGGCCTCGACTTTGTATCTTGTGAGGCGGCATTTTTATAGCGAAGACAGCTGACGGTTCTATGACGGATTCGAACACCGTTGCATCGCTTGATACGAATGCACCGGGATTCTTATCCTCTAAGCCACAACAACTTCAAAGGGGTAGATGAGGAAGGTTATAGTCGTTGTACTATAAAACTTAGAATTAGAACTTATGGCGGTAGCCATCACAGAACACAAGATATTTGACAGATGTCTGAATCTTGCTTACGACATTTTCAAGATAAGCTTGCATATATACAAGTTTCGAAAAACAATATTCGGACAATTCTAGACACATTCGGACATTCGAAGATCTTCCCTTCGTCGTAAACCTACAAAATTATGTCTTACGTCTTACTTACGTAGGTCCTAAGGTTGGTGGCAGCATTCACGTTGTTACGGTTACCATTTAACACCAAATGTAGTGGGATATCATTTACCAATCGAGTTCTATAAGCATAACGGTGTTCATGTAGATAATACCGAATCTCTTTTAACGACATTGACTTTTAAATAAAGAGACAGAGCGTGACCTCTCACAAAAAAATTAAATTACTATATCTCGGCACAAATTTCCTCAATAAAATCTTATATTTTATTATGGTCGTCACTAATAAAGCCAAGAGTAGGACGAGACTAGACAATTCTTCGATATTTCATATTATTGTGGTGCATGGTTCGTGGCATCAGCTCCATATACAGTTCCAGATTGTCAGCCGGTACATGCGTTGCTGGTTTGTTTATGCGCTGAAGCTATCAGAATAAGATTAGATTGTGCTGTATCTTTGCATTGTGCACGCCCACTGTGGACCAGGCGTGCATTTTACTCTTTTACCAGTACAACTGAAATAGCAGTCAACTTATATTTAGAAATTTATGTTTTTTAATAAACAATCTTATCTATATAATATATAAAAATGAATTGCTGTTCGTTAGTCTCGCTAAAACTCGAGAACGGCTGTATCGATTTGGCTAATTTTGGTCTTGAATTATTTGTGGAAGTCCAGAGAAGGTGTAAAAGGTAGATAAATATGAAAATGCTCCCCCGTCGAAAGGGATTCCTTTTGTTTGTTTTAAGTTTATTTTATACAAAAGTTTAGGTCTTTTATTTATCGATTGAGGCTCTACGAAGTCTGCCGGGTCAGCTAGTTTTAAATAAAACGTAATTCTGTTTATACGCGTGTGCATTAAAATAAAGACCCTTGCTTGCAATTATAACATATCGAAAACGATAAAGTTTGCATTGAACTTTAATAGTTTTAACAAATAAGATTAGCGCGCTTGCACTGCAACTTTTGCGGAAATCATTGACTAAGGCTATTTAGTCACACTTCATTACAAAGGTTTTCATTTTTAATCATCTGTAATATTCTGTTTTCGCGTTAGTCATCTAAACAAGGGTTTAGATTTATTTTAGGTGGTAGTAAGTACGTAATCTTAATTTTCATCGCTCATTTACTGTGATGCGCAGGTGTTTATAGCATCAGTAACCAAGCAACCGTCCCACGAAATACTCGAAAAACATTATCACGAGCTGTTCTAAAATTAAGAAAATTGAGAATGCACACATAAAGCCTTTTGTTCTGTATTCGGGACACAGACATCCCGGCGCGGTTTTAATTATCGCTGCCCGAGTGCGTTAATGTAATCAAAGCTCGATACATCATATTCGGACTATCGCTCCGCCTCGGTTTGATTAATATTTTTAATGAGCGGCGGTGCCAAACGAGTTAATTAAGCGTACGTTTTTTTACCGGTGCCACCGAGGCCGGTAAACGGGCGCATCAATCACCGCTTTGTGTCCGCCGCCGAACTTCTTAATGATTGAAATGACGGCCACAGGAACCCCGCTCCAACATTATCATGCACTTTGACCGAGCTCTGACAAATTTAATCCCAACCAATAACTGAGAAAACAGATATAAAAAGACTTGATCTTATCAATACGCTTTTATTAGCTTCAGACGTAGGTATGTATGTTAGTATGTAACGGAATCTTTGAACATGATTTTGACCCCCTTCAAAACGTCGAATTAATTTGAAATTTGGTATACTTATTAAGGACCGATGTCAATTAAATATTAAAAAAAAAAGAAAAAAAAATGGAAAACTTGAAATTCAACTAAAAAATAAATAATAGTTTAAAAAAACTAACAAAACACGCTTTTATAGAAAATCCAAATAAAAAATAAAAAATAAATTTTAATAAATTTGAATTAAAAATAGTGTAAGAAAAAAATATTTTATTGTATAAAAAGCGTGGATTTTTGTAAACGTATTTTGTAAGTTTTTTTAACTATTTTTTAATTACGAACGTGCTTAAATACATTTATTTTGTTAATCAATTAGGCTATGGCCGATGCCGACGGCTATATCGGGCTACTGCGCTCGCGTAGGTGGACATCGAGATAAAATATAAATCAAATTATCAGCATTCAAAATTAGGAGCAATGCTTATCTGCAATTAGCATAATCGTTTGCACGCTAATTAGCGTGTCTTCGATAATATCAACGCTTCAATGAATATAAAATTGTATTAGTGCCTTCTCAGATGTGTCCACGTG